CGATTCCCACACGGGGCAAACATTCGTGTAATGAACAGGTTTGTTCGCTCTTTGTCTGGGTATTTATTATCCATATATGCATTTATATATTTAAACGTATGTATGTCAATATAAGTGTTTATGTCAGTCTCTGGTATCCATAACAAAAGAAATCCTATTTTGGGGCTGAGTGATCGTGCTTGATTTGTTCCCAGTTATTTATTTATTTGTTATTCGAATGGTTATCGCACCATCAAAGCGGGTACCACAAAAACGAGCAAAATGACAGTACCTGCTCGTGGCTACTCATAACACCGGCTACCAATCGACGATTACTCGAGTTCATCAATTTTTGGAACGAAGTTCCTTACGGCAGGCTTGGAGGAGATAGGGATTTTGCTGCGCGACCGAACTGAAAAAAATGTGATAGTAAAAACCGTAAGAAAAAGTCAGTGGAATAAAGCCTTGTTTTCCGCACAGCGATATTTCACCGCGCGATTTTTTTCTCGTAATTCTTTTTTTTTGTTTTTTTTATGTGGAACTTCGTTCCTATCCGGTGTCCCAAGACACCACACATCTTTTTAACAATGAATGTAAATACGTTTACGTAGCTCATTTCGATTCGTAAAAACGAAAATAAACAGACGGAGGCCAGTGCAGCTGCGTATTTCACAACACGTTTGCGCATTCCGATCGAGATACGAAGCAACGTTGCAATACCCTACACCGTTTCAGGATCATAAATACTATTTGAACTTTACGAACAAAGCACTGACTATATTCATAAATCCAATGCGTTCTGTTAGTAGTGAGAAGGGCGAACTCTTTTTAAAAAAAAGGATTTATTCGACACTACACAATATTTATAATGAACTAGCTACCCCGGCAGACTACGTAGTGCCTCAATCGATAAACAAAAGACCTAAAGTTTTGTATAAAAGAAACTTAAAACAAACAAACGGAATCCATCCAATGGGGGACACATCAAAGGAAAAACAAAATTGTTATTTTTATTTAATTACAAGCATTTTCATATTTATCTAACCTTTTAAACCTTCTCTGGACTTCTACAAATAATTAAAGACCAAAATTAACCAAATCGGTCGAGCGGCTCCCGAGTTTTAGCGAGACTAACGAACAGCAATTCATTTTTATATATGTAGATAGATAACTAATTATAATAAAAGAATTTGGAGATAGTGAGGAAAATTGGTAAACGTCTCACTTCAATGAATATCTGACCCGAACTGAGCCTGGTATGTTCTCATGAAATCACAGTGAGAGGGCTTATGATGAGTAAGCATTAGTTTATTAGTTTATACAGGCTACGGATATAACAGTTCGAATAGCTTTTTCGTTCGCGAAATTTTTACGCTCAATTATGATTGTAAAGATTAATATATTTAGTTTAGAAACTGAAGAAAATACGCTAAAATAACACGACGAGTCAAAGATTTTTTTTTAATCCTGATCATCCTAGTTAGAATCTTAGGCCAAAGCCAAATAAAATTATTGTTTAGTCGTCGTACCTTGATACGTATGCAAATGTTTCAAATCTAAATCGGACTGCTACTAATTAATCAAACGGCTTTAGGATGGTGAAAATTACGTTAAAAGATACCATACAAACATACACAGGTCAAGTTAATAAAAGGCGTGCTAAAAATATATGTTTATCATCGTTAGGTAATTCAACAGTTTGAAAATTAACATAAGGCCAACATTGAGCAAATTCAAAATTGTAAAATCATCATCAGTTTTGAGTCATCAGTTTTAGTAGATGTTTCCGTAAACAGAATTTATTATGAGCATTAAATTTAGGTGTATGTCTTAATTTTTTTGTAGCTCCATGCTAAAATTTAGGTATTCTGAAGAATATTTTATATTTATAAACTTGTTCTGTCTCCGCCTGGCAAGTCGAAAAACTTGTGTAATAATAAAAAAAATTACAATTCATATTAAATAATTTAAAAAAATCTTTTTATCATACCAATAATCTCAGAAATGAATCAGGTTAAATGGCAAATATACATGATAGTAATCATATAATAGTAATCTTCAATACTGCTGGTGTGTACTCATAATTTGGAATCAAGAAAAAATTAGTTTAAAAAAAAGAAGAAGACTATACTAAGACTAAGACTATTGATGAAATTAACACCTAAGACATTCTCCACCAGGCAGCAAAGTGTAGGGAAGTGAGTATTATATTTGATTAGTTATGGAGAGTACTATTCTGCAATGTCATTTGTCGTTACAATGAAACTAAGATTTCTGTCTAATTATATCAGATAGACTTCGGTATTCACGATGTGATGCTTATGGTTTCCAAAGTACGCTTAAAATCAAACTTGAATGAAAATAGTAAATCTTTAAATTAATACGTAAGGCTTAAATAAATGCAAAGCGATTGAAACATTTGATGTCATCAAATACAAAATGATAATAAAAGGAATAGTGTACATACACATATTTATTCGCATCACAAACGACCAAAGAGGTGCATATAATAATATAATGATAATTCCAATATCAATAAATACTCGTAATACATGAGAACGAAGAGATCGTAAAAAATATTATTGCAATGAATATTTGTGTCAAGTACACAACTTGACATATTTGTAATTTAATATAATTTGAATATCAAAAGTTTATACCTATGTATATAAATACGTTATATCCCGATTATTTATAGATTTTATTCGTCAATTGCCCTAAGTTTGTGAGCGACGGCAACACTTCCGATCAAAGATTGACGCGTATCGATCCCTCGAGAAGAAAGCTCATTCCAAAAATACACCAAAAGCACCTGCTACAGAGGAATGCTTCCTTGGTTCTATAACATGTCAAATGAGATTCCAGCTGATGCTTAGCTGTTCCTCTGACATTGCTGACGTACGCTTGCATTGCTGACGTATGAAGAACAAATACTCTTAAATCTCACACCGTAATAATACCTTTTTCATAACTAAGGATTTCATTTACGGATACCCAGTCAAGGGGGGTAACAGACCGGGCTATAAGGTCTTACATCACAGGGCTATATCGGACTCCGGCGCCTCCAGAGAAGAAGAGGAAAACCGATGTCCTCCTCTTCTTCCACAGAAAAGTTAAAAGTTGTATGTCTGCTAATTCGTAAGAATCAATAATATTTCACCACCGTTCCGCCTATGTATATACTTAATCAGCAAGTTATAATGATAAGTTTCCTAAAATTGAGGCTGCTGTCGGTTAGTTACGTCATCATCAAATGAACGATATTCTCGTTCGCTTATCTCAACTAAAATATAAAGTCATCTAGTTATAAGGAAAGTAATAATATTTAAGCCTGTAACCAGCCAATCCTATTGCATAGGTACTAATTAAAAAACCAATTATCATCCGTAAATTCTTGAAATTCAATAGAAACACATACATTTTCAAATTATAACCGAACCGTATGGTCTATTCATATTAATGAAAACGAATTACGGAATTAAACTATTCATTCCATTAAGATTCCAACGAGCCAGGTCTCGTTATGATAATCGCAGTCGGCGCCATCTAAATTTTACTTATATAGAAACACAAAAGTAATTATTATAATTACTAGTACATATTCTGCTCATCAATATCGACGTACTGAATACACAGGTATTCTAATGTGCTAAATTTTTTTCAGAAACGATATGTATTTTCGTCTATCAGATAACAGAAATGATGTTTATTGAAGAGTCGATACAAGCCGATAGATAGAGAAAGAGGGATTATGCTTAAGCGGTAGGCAGCGGCTTGGCTCTGCCTCTGGCATTGCTGAAGTCCATGGGCGACGGTAACCACTCACCATCAGGTGGGCCGTATGCTCGTCTGCCTACAAGGGCAATAAAAAAAAGTACACAAAAGAAATAAAAATGCAAAACATCAAATACAAAAAAAATAGTACAAAGGGCGGTCTCGTTGCTAAGAGCGATCTCTTCCAGACAACCATCAGGTGGACAAAAATCACTTTAGGATAGAAATAACTTACACGCGATTTACCTATAGATTGACATACATACACATACAACGCATTATAATTATATAAATATGAGCAATGTAATAATAATAATGCTTCTTTACACATAAAAAAAAATCAATTAACATAAATACCTAAGAAATATAAATACAATTTTTTTGTGACAACTAATTATATAAATAACACTCCTGATACGTGTTTCTTTGCATAAATATTTAGTAACTATATATCTGTAAATTTGAATAACTGCTTCACTTCATTAAAGACGGCATTCAAAATTCACTCGGTAATGTTTCAACGTTAAGCTAAAATAATATATCTGAGAGCTACATATAATAAAGAGCAATTATATTTGTAAGGATTTCTGAAAACAATGAAACTCTATTGACCAACAAACAATACAGCCTGCATTTTTTGTGAAGTCAGCTAAGATCGTTTTTCGATTATCCATCAAAAGCGCAGAAGGTAATTTAGGAAGGTAAATGAATCAAACGACGTAATAAAGCTTTTGTTCTTTTAGCTTTAACTTTCAAGCTTTATATATTTTACCTTCAGAGACTTAAGATTAACATCAATCAATCAGTAAAATAATATATATGTTTTGCAATTACCATAGATGAGCAAACGAGTGAATGGCCCACCTGTATTCATAGATACAATGAAACGATTATCCACATAAAAAAATTATGTCTCATGTGAATATAAATATTTAGTTAAATTTTATTTAACTTATTGATTACATTAATGTTTTGATAAATTGTCTAAATTATAAATACCGTTTCGTCACTAGCAAAGGAAGATAGAGTTGAACAAACTAATAATCAAGGTAAAATATCCGAAAAAACACTTAAAAAAACTGTATTTGACTGTTTAAAATCAAATCATTATTATTTTGATAAATTGTCTAAATTATAAATACTGTTTCGTCACTAGCAAAAGAAGATAGCGTTGAAAAAACTAATGAAGATAAAAAAAACCGTATTTGTCTGTTTAAAATAAAAATGCAAATTTTATTTTGTTCCAGGCTGGGGGAGCGATGAAGGGGTGGTTTGACGCGTTCCGCGAGGAAGGCGGCCCTACCTTATACGCCTATCACAACAGGACGGCGGTGGCAGCAGACGTGCCTGCACTAGCACTGCTGCTCGCCGCCCTGACTCTCTACCTCGCCTTCCTTGTCGTGTTCCCTGGAATCAGAAAAGAGGTAAAAACCGCATAGTACCGACACGCACATTTTCTTTTTGATCGCCGTTGGATATTAAGAACCTTTTTTTTAATGCTTATATGGGTGGACGAACTCACAGCCCACCTGGTGTTAAGTAGTTACTGGAGCCCATAGACATCTACAACGTAAATGCGCCACCCACCATGAGATATAAGTTCTAAGGTCTCAGTATAGTTAAAACGGCTGTCTCGCCCTTCAAACCGAAACGCATTACGGCTTCACGGCAGAAATAGGCAGGGTGGTGGCACCTACCGGCGCGGACTCACAAGAGGTCCTACCGTCGTCCTCCTTGAAATTTATAATACTCTATTGTACAAAATGTATCTAGTGCTTGAAACACAGGTTATTGGCAATGTGCAAAATCTGTGGTTTTTATTTCAATTGACGCCGCGACGGTCTCAGTTACAATGTATAACGGCTGTCCCACCATTCAAACTAGAAATCATGACGGCTTTACGCCAGAAATGGACAGCGGTACCTGTGTGAGCTTATAAAACACTATACCATCAGTAAATGACCAAATGACCAGACCAAATGGAATCAAACTCAGAGTACACCGCTGCTTTGCTATTTGCAATTTTTCGGTGAATTTCTTTGTTACATTTGCCGACATCCAAAAGAAGAGCTGGGTGGTGTTATTCTAAGACGATAGCACATGGTCACAATGTATACATTTACTAGCTAACCCTAGAAACGCTGTGAGTTTCTCTAAAATCTTCTATATATATAAAAATGAATTGCTGTTCGTTAGTCTCGCTAAAACTCGAGAACGGCTGGACCGATTTGGCTAATTTGGTCTTGAATCATTTGTGGAAGTCCAGAGAAGGTTTAAAAGGTAAATAAATACGAAAATGCTCGGAATTAAATAAATATAACACGGATTGTTTGTTTTAAGTTTATTTTATACAAAAGTTTAAGTCTTTTATTTATCGATTGAGGCACTACGAAGTCTGCCGGGTCAGCTAGTCTTAAAATAAAAGCTGCCTAAGTTACTTCATATAAAATCGGCCATTTCCAAAAAAAATATTAGTTTAGCGGTTTCAGAGATGAACCGAAACAAAAAAAATAATTTAAAATTGATTTATTGTTTATGTACCTGTATTTTGTATACATATATTTTCAAATTCGTTTAATAAAAATCTGTTTATTTTTACTGAACGTCTGATTATAGACACAATTTTATTTATTTGTACGTGGAGCAAAATGTTCATCAATATTTCGCTGAAGTCGATATTGAATCGCCGACTACGATAAAAGTATGATTTCTAAACAATGGCACATTTGTTACAGAGATTTTCCACGTTCACGGTAGTCACGCTCAGCTTATTTGTCGGGACAGTTATCTTAGGTAAGTTTAAGTGTTATAAGACGTTTTATGTAATTAAACATCAAGTTAATTTAATTTTAAGTATGGTAATTTCAGTTTTTGATGCGGGCCATCCGATTGTCACGTCGCATTGTATCCATTTTTCGTTCACATCAAACATTTAGAAATTTTATAACAACTTCCGAGTGGCTGGCTGTTTTTTCTCGATTGTCGGTATCAATTCTTAAATAACTATTATTATTTAGAATTGCATATACACACTGTCTTTGTGCATTAAAGATTCAACCGTTTTAAAATTTGAATCAATAACTTTAAAGCACATGTAAGCTTATATAATATGAATTAGAATAAATGAGCCATTCATTATATAAACATTAAGACATAAGGTCGTAGTCTCAAACATAACAGCTTAATAGCATAACGGCGTTAGCTTGCTCATTGCTTGGATAACATACATTAGTACGAAGTTGTAACTTTCTCGTTCACATCTACCGATTCATCTCAATCTTTTGTCCTACGTCCTCGTTTACAACAATCAAGACATTGTCAATCATTATGTAATATTCTAATACAAATCGAGCCTCAATTAGCTTGATAGATGTAGCTGGCAAAGATATTTTGTAAGTTTTTTTTTTCGTAATGAATCTGCTATTGTCTTCGGGTGACCGCTCAAGTGGAGAAATCAACAGTTCGTATTCTGCCATTGACCGCAATATTTCGTGTGTCAAGCGCAAATCACGTTCCTTCTGTTATTAAAACACGTTGTTCACACAGCAATGCACAGACAGCTTCACTTCATAAATTCTTGCAAAACATTAAACATAATCATGAATAGGCTTATGCGAAATCACAAATAATCGGATAGTAATTCTATGGCATATCTTTATTCTGAAATTTTATTTCAAATCAATGCATTTTTCAAGTTTCTGTTATACCGTCACAGGCATAGATGATACACATAAATCAGTTATAGATAAGCAGCTTAAGCACTCAACAAAAATGTTTACGGGCGTCGGCCACGAGATGGCTACGCTTCGATTAGTTTCTCATTGCTTTTGTTGATGACAGAAACAAATTACCTATTCTATATTTTATTTTTAATGAAGAATTTTGTAAATTTTCAGAAACCACTAATTGATAAAATTTAATGAATTTGTCTAAACAAATAAAGACTTTTATGTCTTTTAATAATTTTTTTATTTTGTGTGTTCAGTTACACAGTAATTAAATGCCTTAATTTTAACAACATATAAGTTTAGGGGCATCCGCTACAAGACGTCGATAGTTTCCATACAAAAAAAAAATATTTGTGTTAAAGTATCGTAGTTTCAGGGCCCTGGTCACAAGGTGACGTGACAGATTTATCCATTATGAAATGGAGTAACCAAATTATTATTACGAACGAATTAAATTATAAACAATATACAAACAATGTTAACACAACAGCTAAACATATTTTGATCTATCTATTATATAATTATTTCAGTATGTAAGCACGGATCGTCATGGCACATAGCAGGGGCGCGCGTGGCGAGAGCTGCATACCGCGCCTTCTCCTCTGAGCGGCTTGATTGCTGGTTAGCAATACACGTGGGACTGGGACATGTTAACGTCACGCTCACAGGTTGGCTTCTTTATCACATTAATTGGGCAGATGAACCCCGTGGTCCGTTTGATGTCAATTGGCAATTGTGACCCATGTATTTCACGAGGTACCACCACGGCGCTTCGTAAGCTTTGTCCTTTGTCTTTGTTCAATTGTTTCTTAATCATTTGCAGTGTTTTTAGAAAAATACCTATATTAGCTTCCTTTTTGTCACCATCGACGGCAAAAGATTCAATGATCATGTTGTTTTGATCTTAATTGGCAGCTCCCGGTCTACCGATATTAAATGGTAAGGTCGTAAATGCCCTCTTCATACGACTGGTAAAAACGTTTGGATTTTCACTGTTAATACCGCTTATGTTTCTATTCATTTTGTTTTCACATTCGTATTGATTTGAATACGGAAAGAAAACATAGTTGTATGAAATAATGAAATGAAACTATAGAATTTATTTTTGGTGAAATTCTCCATTTACAGCGCTGTCTTGGGGAAACACAACTATAGGTGACCCTGGTGTTGACTACAATGAGCAGTTCCGATGGGAAGAAGCCGGTGCAATACAGGAGTGGTATCGCGCAGGGCTTACCCGTGGCCTTCCATACCCAGTGCTATCGGTAGCAGAGCATTTTGCTGTTCAGCATGAAGGCTTCGAGTGGGGAGCTAAGTACCGCGCAGCCGGATACACTACGTCAACATTGCTCTGGTATGTAGGTGTAAGTTGACTCGCGACATTTTCTGGAAGATAAAAAAGATAGTTATTTGTAGATTAAAGTAGAAATGTCGAAGATAAGATACAATTTAGTTTTTCAGATCACGAAACCTGTGTTTTTTATTTATTTATTGCTTAGATGGGTGGACAAGCTCACAGCCCACCTGCTGTTAAATGGTTACTGGAACCCATAGACATCTACAACGTAAATACGCCACCCACCTTGAGATATAAGTTCTAAGGTCTCAAGTATAGTTACAACGTGTTTCCGTATTAAATCCTTAAAATCTCTATAATATTTTATTATTTCAGGACAGCATTAGCACTATGGCTTCTAATGAATCTGCTCCTAGTGGTTGTCCCTCGCTATGGTGCATACGCAATGGCGATCCTCGGTGTGACATTGTGCGCTGCTGCGGGCGGCTACTGGGCCTCTCTGCCAAACGCTCCCTTAGTAGTCAGATTAGACGGAGCGATGCTGTTCTTCTCGCTCGGCTGGTGCTTCTGGCTAGTCCTAATAGCAGGTATACATACATCTCCTATGCTTAAAAAGGAGTTATAAGCCAATTAAAAAACCGAAATGCATTACTACTTCACGGCAGAAATAGGCGGGGCGGTGGTACCTACCCGTGCGGACTCACAAGAGGTCCTACCACCAGTAATTACGCAAATTATAATTTTGCGGGTTTGATTTTTATTACACGATGTTATTCCTACACCGTGGAAGTCAGTCGTGAACATTTGTTAAGTACGTATTTCATTACAAAAATTGGTACCCGCCTGAGATTCGAACACCGGTTCATCGCTCAACACGAATGCACCGGACGTCTTATCCTTTAGGCCACGACGACTTCACTAGCGATACGTCAGGCCACTGTTCTTTTCTGTATAACATTTTATTGTAAATTATTTTGAATGTACGATTAACTTCAACTGTATCCATTCTTCCGTTTTCAAAGTAGAACTCTTGCATAACAAAATCTAATAACATAATTCAATAAATACAAAACATTTTGTCTCTAGAAACCGAAGTCTTCAAGTATGATTTTTTATCATGGAATACATAAGCGCCATTATTATTATTATTACACAATCTCTCGCATTAAACTTCAACAATCCGGTAAATCAAGTTTAATCATTCTATTATTTTAGGTAGCGCTTGTGTACTAGTTGGGATGGTGATAGCGATGCTGGATCTAATATGGCCGCATCGTTTCTCGACTGTTCTGGAGGTGGACTACGACACTCCTTACGACAGGCACGTGCTAATTGTCGACAGTCGACAACGAGCGAGACCTCAAACTCAAGCTTCGTTGCCTACTAGAATTTTAAGGTACGTTGTTTTTTTTACTGTTAAGGCGTGTTGTGAACCCCATGCTTTTTATTTCTGAATGCAATGAATGTAAGGAAGTTCCGATCTGTAAGGTGCAACAGCCGTTAGACAGTATAATTTCAACTTAGACCTCTTGTCTCAAAGTGTTTGGCGGCATTTAGATTTTCATGGCTGTTTAACAACAGATGAGTCGTAAGTAGAATGATAAAATAAATAAGTAAAGATTTAGAGTTTACAGTGTAATAATGTAATTAGAACACGATATAATTTTCCATTCATTACTAAGTTACGGATGCTTCAAACGATATTATTTTAAATCATATTTACGACTCATGAAATGTATAAAATAATTATTGAATTTATGTATAAAGGTACACTAATTACTTCTAGATGTTGGTTGTCTTCTGTTATTGGAGATGAATAGTAATTTTAGCATCATAGATTAACATTTTTAATTAACTTTTATAATACGAATAGTAACTTAATCTCTATTGAAAATCGTAAAAATCAAAGTTCATTAACACAATAAATCTGATATGATAAGATGTTTTTTTTTTTCATTTAGAAGATTGTCGTCAAAAACCCGTGAAAACGAAGCACAAGCCAGTTTGTCGGTTGTAAATGAACGGGGACGGGACAACCCTGCTTTTAGACATGAACAGCGAAAACCTAACTCTCCGTGGAGGTACCCGCTCTTTAGGCGACAGATAGACAGGTAAGTCTTTTCAAAAAAAAAATTACCGTCTTCAAATAATAAAATAATAGTTTAAAAAAACTAACAAAATGCGCTTTTATAGAAAATCCAACCAAAAAATAGAGTATAAAATTTTAATAAATTTGAATTAAAAATAGTGTAAGAAAAAATGATTTTATTGTAAAGAAAGCGTGGGGTGCTTTTCAGGATATTATCAAAATAACCCTTCTACTCATATCTGTTCATAAAATATTTATAACTACTTATACCATGCACCCCACGCTTTTTTACAATAAAATCATTTTTTCTTACACTATTATTAATTCAAATTTATAAAATATCTATAAAAGCGTGTTTTGTTAGTTTTTTTAAACTATTTTTTTTATTGCTTAGATGGGTGGACGAGCTCACAGCCCACCCGGTGCCAAGCGGTTACTGGAGCCCATAGACATCTACAACGTAAATGCGCCACCCATCTTGAGATATAAGTTCTAAGGTCTCAAGTATAGTATAAGTATATTGAAAATGCTACAATCGCTCTGCGACTCGAAATCAACGGAAACGCCATTTCGTCTTCACTCAAACATGGTGCCGTAAAACAGCTACAAGATCCGTTTTTTGTTAGTAAGCGTATTTTGTTAGTTTTTTTAAATTATTATTTATTTTTAATTTTTTAGTTGAATTTCAATTTTTCCAATTTTTTTTTTAAATATTGAATTGTCATCGGTCTTTAATAAGTATACCAAATTTCGTGTTAATCCGACGTTTTGAAGGGGGTCAAAATCATGTTCAAAGATTCCGTTACAAACATACATACGTCTGAAGCTAATAAATCGTATTAAAAAGAGGAAATCCTCAATTCGGAGCCTGTGTTTTTATATACTAACATGAGAAAACCAACATACCATTCATCTAGAGTTTAGCATATTATTATAAAGAAGTCGATCATAGTATTAAAGCTGCCGTCTACCAAATATAAAATGATATTTTAAAAGATCCATATGTCTGCGGTGCATGCTTATATTTCGATCATTAATTTTCAATGTCTTTGTCATAATGTGGCTTATGATATCTGGACGATGATAGCGATATGCATGTATCAGGTTATATATATCTTTGATTCCTTTGCCCACAAAAAATTACCAAAACGTACTGGTGGGTGAAGACGTTAAACTATTTGCCGCGACTGCTCTCATAAAGTAAAAAATATTTTTGCTGAGTCTCTCGCCGGATCTCACTGAGTTTCTCGCCGGATCTTCCCAGTGGGTCGCGATTCCGATCCGGTAGTAGATTATTTCGCAAAGCAATTGCTCTTGAGTTGTTAGGTCTCCTTCGGAGGCGCTCGGGCAGCTGATAGCAAATCCCACCCTCCTGGCAGAGCCTTTGCTCGCCCACCTGTCTTGGTGAAACTGGAAAGGCCTCCAGGACACCAGTAATCTGTTAATCATAAAAAAAATATCTTATCTTTATTTCAGAGCGGACTCAGCATCGAGTCTCGGTTCTAGTGTAAACGGGAACAGTTCCGGAATAAAAATGTCACCGCTCGCGGGCGATCACCCCGCGCCATCAGCCGCCATCCCTCCACATAGGTAATGAATAAATTTCTGGATTAATACATTATAATAAAATATAATATAATAAATAAATAAATTAATTAATTAATTATAATAAATCGCATAGATGTAAGGACCATTGTGTACAAACTCAGCACTTTGTCTTGCTTAGTCGTGCACACATGGCTTATGTTGCAAGCCAGATTGTGTTTCTTTTTACTTGTGTTTTTTGTGTATCTTTTTAGCTTGTGTGTGTATTGTGTGCCTAATAAATAAAATAAAATAAAAATTAAATATCAATATTAGGGTTATCGGGTAGGCTAGCAATCTAGCTTCACCGAATGTATTTTGAGGTCACGGGGATCAGCCTGGGAAACTTTTTCAATATTAACAATTTCTGGAAACACATTAGACATAGTTAAAAATAAATCCGGATGGTTCTAATTACCCGTTCGGAGTTACTGTAAGGCATTTATATCTATGAACTCAACTACACAATAAGGCCTACTAAGTACCGCTCGTAATTATGTAATTTTATTAATGTCTTTGGTTTTATTCTACTAAATCTATATTTTATTATAAAAAATAATTTGTAAATAAATGCCAATGCCTATTTTTATATTTAAAATTAGTACTAAACCATATTGGTATAGAGAATTTTTGCTTTTTTTCCTCTGAAATCTTATATGCCACATATCTAAATGAGTACTCACAATTAGCAGCCTTTTAACAGCATATTAACTATGTTAAGAAATGGACTATTACTTTGGCGATTGATAACCGGATCTGATTAAAGAACAATCTTACTTGGACCACTGTTTCCATTTACAGGTTCCGCCCGCAAATTCCGGCGGCGGAGCGAGTGAAAGACATGTGGTGATTAACAATCGGCACTAGGATTAATTACATATTTAACTCACTGATAATCGTGTAAAAATATTTTTTGATGTTTTAGTAAGCACGTGAATAACACGGACTAGACGATTTACCAAAATACTAAAAAAGCTTTGATATCGGTCGAAGCAATGGCTTTCCAATCAAAGCTATTGTAATATTAAGCTCTTGCTTCGCAACATCGTTCCTTTAGTTTGGTGAACATTCATCGTCTGCAAATTTGTATTGATTCGAATATTTTCAAAATAATAATACCGTTTTGCGTGACTCTGATAGCTCCTACACTTTATTTAAATGTAAATGCTGTCAATCAAATTCTGTCGTATAATGAATTTTTAAGTGTGCTCCTTCTAAATATAAAGGAAAGAAAATAAATTTAACAAATGTTTTAGTTACTGATCTCTATGACAGAATGTAAGTAGATAGTTATTAAAAATTAAAAATTCACATCGTGTACACGTTTGTAAGTATATATAATGTGTGTAAATATGTAAATTTTAATATAAACTATGTAACTAAACATTCAGTGTCATAAACTTTATAATAAACTTAAGAATATTGTTATGTGTGCGTTAATTCGAATTTAGTCTCAATTTTACACCGAAATAAATAAGAATTGTTAAAACAAAAACTAAATTATGAACGTTATCAAAGACGATTACTGCATAACCGTTATTTTTTCTTCAAAGTTAAATAGCCGAGTACTATTTTCTCATTTGATGTTTTCTATCTTAACTCTAATACACAAATTCACTTAAACATTAACTGAATATTAAAGAATAAAAATAGTTTATGTAATTGTAACTCACTTATATATATATCTGTTAAGTAAACCATGAAAATCATCATGTAAGTCTTGAAATTGACGGAAATATACATATATATTTCTGTACAATGTTTATACCATAAACTGAAACATAATTAATTGTATTTGTGTTTTCAGCAGACTATAGTTCCAACATTAATAAATAATATTGCATAATCTTATGAAATAAAACAAATGATATCTGCATATAATTAAAATACATTGACACAAATGAATGCTTTGTGCCATTATAACCTTAATTATGATGTGATCAAAATCTTAGATTAAGACAACTGCACACTTCATTGTTATAAAAAAAAACAATTAATAATGAACAGATTAACGTTTGTGAACCAGTTATTTTTAACAAGTGACATGAGTATTAACGAAATGTTTCTGTGTTATTTAATAACCTAAGATTATTTTATGGATTAACCTTTAAAGGTCACAGAGAAAGGCAATGGTAAATCACAGAATTAAAAAAAATCAGCGAAGTCAAGTAACTGTAAATTTAGATATAAGTTATTTATTTTGTAAAGTTGAAATTGAACATGAACGAATGGATGAAATATGATATTTATGTATGAAAATGTTGTTTAATATCAATCAATAAAAAAAATTGTGTAGTAAGTAGGTATCAAGTATTAAAATCTAAAATCGATGCCTCCAATGAACACTACTCTTACTCAAAATTTTGAAATTTTCGTTTTTCACGCAAATCGCTTGACTATTTTAAAAGTATTACAAATTCATTATTAATGGGGTTCGAAGCAAGAGTAAATCAGCTAGTTACACAAGAAAAAAACATAAAATCTTTATTATTGCAGATATATTTATCAACTTTTTTCGTTTAAACTCTCATCCTGTAAACTTACGAATTTGGAGTTAGAGTAGTGTTCATTGGAGGCATCGAAATGTTCAATGAAATATATTCAATGTTGCGAAAATGTGTTTGCAACAGTGAATATGTTGTAATTATAATTTAATTAGTCAAAGGACTCTTACTCGATATATCGTTTATTGTACGTACATTACCCGATTGAGGGTGATTACAAAAACGAACCATTCACATACACACCATAAAATATAATAGGTACATCAATTGTAAAATTAGTTATGAAAAGGCGGCAATAAAGGTTCTAGTAAAAAATTTATGCGTGTGCAATAATTTGGCGCCCGTTTTCAAAATCGTGTATCTATATTTAAATCTATAATTTACCTACAATGAGAATTATTTGAGAGTGCCTGATAATGAAACTATTTATTGTGATAAAAAAAATAAACAAATTCCAAATGAAAATCTTTTTATTTTCGTTAAAAATTAAATACGTTTCCAATCCAAATTACAATTGCTCAAATCAAAAAGTGTAAATCTAAGATTGTTCTTTCACAAGATGTTCCAAGTTGAGTTGGCACAGGAATGCATTCCAGTTGACGTAGCCTTCCTGGATGAGATTTTCGCTTTCGGCCCACAATTTGCACTAAAACGATTTTAAAATTACGAATGATTTATTATTTAATGAAATATCTAAAGGAAACAGAAGAAAGAATTTTAATAAGTATCTTACAAGAGGTAATTAGAGGTCTGTTCGACGAATATGTTATTTAGGGATATTTATATGCGATATTACCAAACTACTTTCCCTTCAATGTCTACCGTTTTAATAGTCTACAATAGGCTCATTTGTAATAATCCTAATAAAAGAGCCTTATTATTTATTCCCATAAAATTTAATTGAATATTAATATACCTAATCATCCTATACACACTGTGAAGAACTTATACTCCTAACAAGATTATTTAAAATCTATTTTATTAAATTTCATTATCGAAACACTTAATATCCTTACGCCTATATTCGCAAACTATAATTAAATAGTAAATCATGTAATCACTGAAACAAAAAAAACTTGTATTTAAATATAATTAGAGGGTAAGTACGTAATAATGATTCAAATCACTTCGCCTTAGAGGGTAAGTACATAATAATAATTTACACTTCGCCATTTTGATTTAGTTGATCATTCTACGCGTATTAACTTTCAAGCTTTACCTCAGTGTCTTTCAGCGGTGGCGCGTGTCTGACGACCTTCTGATAATCATCCTCCGTCAGATTGAACACTGGTCGAGTTTGGAAATCCAAAAACTTCAACAAATCTTCATAGTAAATGTTGCAGTTTTCGTCCTTTTCCAATCTGAAATTGTCTTTCATTATTTAGTTTAGACGAATTGTAAAGGCCTTTTCGTGATTCCGTAGATTAGTGACATTTCATTTGCAATATTGCAATTTGCAATTTTTTTATTGCATAGAAGGATGGACGAGATCACAGTCCACCTAGTATTAAGTGGTTACTGGAGCCCATAGACATCTACAAGGTAAATGCGCCACCCACCTTGAGATATAAGTTCTAAGGTCTCAGTATTATTACAATGGCTGCCCCACCCTTCAAACCGAAACGCATTACTGCTTCACGGCAGAAATAGGCAGGGTGGTTGTACCTACCCGTGCGGACTCACAAGAGGTTCTATCACCATTAATTACGCAAATTAGAATTTTGCGGGTTTGATTTTTATTACACGATGCTATTCCTTCGCCGTGGAAGTCAATCGTAAACATTTCTTAAGTACGTATATCATTAGAAAAATTGGTACCCGCCTGCGGGATTCGAACAAAGTTGCATCGCTCAACACGAATGCACTGGACGTCTTATCCTTTAGGCCACGACGACTACGAATTATCTAAACAAATATAGGTACTATTATCATTATTATTATTATTAAAATACCAAGGGAACCCACACTTGTAACATGCAGTCCATGAGGTCGGTGTTGATAGTGAGTCGGTGGGCGCGGAGCAGCTGTCGCAGGCGCTCCGGCGCCACCGCCCCGGTGCCGAGCTCGTCGGCGTGCACGAGCCCCTCCCGCAGCCGGGCGCGGTCGTCCCACAGGCCACGGGTCAACTCCGTAAACACTAACGACCTGTTTCGTGATATTCTAGAATCTAGATATTCATTGTTACTGTAGTGTGCAGCTCGCTTTTTTTTCCCTACCTAAGTTGATAGCCTTGAGAGGCTATATCAGCGTAACCTTAACTAGTAGATGAGCTCACGGGACTCAAACCTGACGACGTTGCTAGCACGAACCCTAGCAAGAGCCGTGCTTCGCAGAATGTACCACCGGATCGGAAACGCGACCCACTCAGAAGATCCGGCGAGAAACTCAGTGGGCTGTGTCTGAGGGTTAATTTACTCGTCGAGCCCTTCGTCGCAAGCGACGGGTTCGACGAGAACGATGATCGGGCAGCTGGCATTTGTGTTTGCACAAGTGAAATTAGTTTGAGAACAAAAAAAAAGATTTATGTAATAATATCATATTTTTTTTAAAAAGGGGGGAGGTGTAGTGTGCAGCTCACCTAACCTTATATTTGTAACTGCACACACTGAATTATAACACTATTACACGAATTGTCGACTTGAACAGTTCTCTTTTATTTTGCCTCATTGACATCACTCCAATACATTACACCTAGAAAACTTTTTACTGAGACGAATGACTACTTCATAAACTGATGAAAATTAATCTCACAAATAAACTTTAGTATTTAATATTACCTAATCATTTCACGTCGCGGGCTTTTCTCTTTCCCTGGATCACCTCGAAAATGTCTAACCAAAGTCAAAAACTCGTGTTGTGTCATTTTTTCGCACATTATTTCCTTCAGAGCTTGCCTGAAACCGAAACATTAAATTAAAACCTGAAAAATATATATTTAATTCAAAAAAGCAACAACGTAGCTTATTAGTTTCGAATCCTATGAAGTTTCTAGAAAATTTATCGAAGGTAGACGTGGTAATCTCCTCTAGTTTCACGAGATCAATTGAAACACATTTTCCTAGAGTCCCTTGAGTTATCAATGTAACATACTGTTTTAAAGTAAGCAGTGAACAGTGCTCCTATTTGAATATTTTTTTTCATATTCATCAAAGATAAACGAACTAACGGCCATGTTATCATTAGTCTACACTGTCGGTCTTGAGCATAGATATAGACAAGTCACTGCACACAGCTACGTATACTTAAAACTACGAGGGCGGCACTGAAAGTTTCGGGAATTAACGAAGTGACACAACATTACTATTTAAAAATGTATTTATTGCTTTTCGAAGTATTCTCCGCGAAATTTGACACATTTTTCCATACGATGGAATCAATCATTGAAGCAACCATTCCATTCGGAAGTTGGGGTCTCCAAAATGGCCGTTTTGTAGGCGTCCACAGCTTCTTCAGGTGATGAAAATCTCTNTGCTTCACGGCAGAAATAGGCAGGGTGGTGGTACCTACCCGTGCGGGCTCACAAGAAGTCCTACCACCAGTAATTACGCAAATTATAATTTTGCGGGTTTGATTTTTATTACACGATGTTATTCCTTCACCGTCGAAGTCAATCTTGAACATTTGTTAAGTACGTATTTCATTGGAAAAATTGGTACCTGCCGGCGGGATTCGAACACCAATGCATCGCTACAAACAAATGCACCGGACGTCTTATCCTTTAGGCCACGATAACTTCGACTTTGTTATTTTTACTGAACGTCTGATTATACCTAAACAGACATTTATTAGACACAATTTTATTTATTTGGACGTGGAGCAAAATGTTCATCAATTTTTGGCTGAAGTCGATATTGAATCGCCGACTACGATAAAAGTATGATTTCTAAACAATGGCACATTTGTTACAGAGATTTTCCACGTTCACGGTAGTCACGCTCAGCTTATTTGTCGGGACAGTTATCTTAGGTAAGTTTAAGTGTTATAAGACGTTTTATGTAATTAAACATCAAGTTAATTTAATTTTAAGTATGGTAATTTCGGTTTTTGATGAGGGTCATCCGATTATCACGTCGCATTGTATCCATTTTTCGTTCACATCAAACATTTAGAAATTTCCTGACAACTTCCGAGTGACTGGCTGTCTTTTCTGGATTGTCGGTATCAATTCTTAAATAACTATTATTATTTAGAATTGCATATACACACTGTCTTTGTGCATTAAAGATTCAACCGTTAAAATTTGAATCAATAACTTTAAAGCACATGTAAGCTTATATAATATGAATTAGAATAAATGAGCCATTCATTATATAAACATTAAGACATAAGGTCGTAGTCTCAAACATAACAGCTTAATAGCATAACGGCGTTAGCTTGCTCATTGCTTGGATAACATGCATTAGTACGAAGTTGTAACTTTCTCGTTCACATCTACCGATTCATCTCAATCTTTTGTCCTACGTCCTCGTTTACAACAATCAAGACATTGTCAATCATTATGTAATATTCTAATACAAATCGAGCCTCAATTAGCTTGATAGATGTAGCTGGCAAAGATATTTTGTAAGTTTTTTTTTTTCGTAATGAATCTGCTATTGTCTTCGGGTGACCGCTCAAGTGGAGAAATCAACAGTTCGTATTCTGCCATTGACCGCAATATTTCGTGTGTCAAGCGCAAATCACGTTCCTTCTGTTATTAAAACACGTCGTTCACACAGCAATGCACAGACAGCTTCGCTTCATAAATTCTTGCAAAACATTAAACATAATCATGAATAGGCTTATGCGAAATCACAAATAATCGGATAGTAATTCTATGGCATATCTTTATTCTGAAATTTTATTTCAATTCAATGCATTTTTCAAGTTTCTGTTATACCGTCACAAGCATAGATGATACACATAAATCAGTTATAGATAAGCAGCTTAAGCACTCAACAAAAATGTTTACGGGCGTCGGCCACGAAATGGCTTCGCTTCGATTAGTTTCTCATTGCTTTTGTTGATGACAGAAACAAATTACCTATTCTATATTTTATTTTTAATGAAGAATTTTGTAAATTTTCAGAAAACACTAATTGATAACATTTAATGAATTTGTCTAAACAAATAAAGACTTGTATGTCTTTTAATATATTTTTTATGTTGTGTGTTCAGTTACACAGTAATTAAATGCCTTAATTTTAACAACATATAAGTTTAGGGGCATCCGCTACAAGACGTCGATAGTTTCCATACAAAAAAATTTTTTGTCTTAAAGTATCATAATTTTAGGTCCCTGGTCACAGAGTGACGTGACAGATTTATCCATTATGAAATGGAGTACCAAATTATTATTACGAACGAATTAAATTATAAACAATATACAAACAATGTTAACACAACAGCTAAAGAAATTTTGATCTTTTTATTATATAATTCTTTCAGTATGTAAGCACGGATCGTCATGGCACATAGCAGGGGCGCGCGTAGCGAGAGCTGCCTACCGCGCCTTCTCCTCTGAGCGGCTTGATTGCTGGTTAGCAATACACGTGGGACTGGGACATGTTAACGTCACGCTCACAGGTTGGCTTCTTTATCACATTAATTGGGCAGATGAACCCCGTGGTCCGTTTGATGTCAATTGGCAATTGTGACCCATGTATTTCACGAGGTACCACCACGGCGCTTCGTAAGCTTTGTCCTTTGTCTTTGTTCAATTGTTTCTTAATCATTTGCAGTGTTTTTAGAAAAATACCTAAATTAGCTTCCTTTTTGCCGCCATCGATGGCAAAAGATCCAATGGTCATGTTGTTTTAATCTTAATTGGCAGCTCCCGGTCCACCGATATTAAATGGTAAGGTCGTAAATACCCTCTTCAAACGACTGGTAAAAACGTTTGGATTTTCACTGTTTATACCGCTTATGTTTCCATTCATTTTGTTTTCACATTCGCATTGATTTGAATACGGAAAGAAAACATAATTGTATGAAATAATGAAATGAAACTATAGAAGTTATTTTTGGCGAAATTCTCCATTTACAGCGCTGTCTTGGGGAAACACAACCATAGGTGACCCTGGTGTTGACTACAATGAGCAGTTCCGATGGGAAGAAGCCGGTGCAATACAGGAGTGGTATCGCGCAGGGCTTACCCGTGGCCTTCCATACCCAGTGCTATCGGTAGCAGAGCACTTTGCTGTTCAGCATGAAGGCTTCGAGTGGGGAGCTAAGTACCGCGCAGCCGGATACACTACGTCAACATTGCTCTGGTATGTAGGTGTAAGTTGACTCGCGACATTTTCTGGAAAATAGAAAAGATAGTTATTTGTAGATTAAAGTAGAAATGTCGAAGACAAAATACAATTTAGTTTTTCAGATCACGAAACCTGTGTTTTTTTTTAATTGCTTAGATGGGTGGACTAGCTCACAGCCCACCTGGTGTTAAGTGGTTACTGGAGCCCATATACATCTACAACGTAAATGCGCCACCCACCTTGAGATATAAGTTCTAAGGTCTCAAGTATAGTTACAAGGTGTTACCGTATTAAATCCTTAAAATCTCTATAATATTTTATTATTTCAGGACAGCATTAGCACTATGGCTTCTAATGAATCTGCTCCTAGTGGTTGTCCCTCGCTATGGTGCATACGCAATGGCGATCCTCGGTGTGACATTGTGCGCTGCTGCGGGCGGCTACTGGGCCTCTCTGCCAAACGCTCCCTTAGTAGTCAGATTAGACGGAGCGATGCTGTTCTTCTCGCTCGGCTGGTGCTTCTGGCTAGTCCTAATAGCAGGTATACATACATCTCCTATGCTTAAAAAGGAGTTATAAGCCAATTAAAACTAGTTGACATTAATTCCACGTGTCGGTGAACTTGCCACTTGAAGTCGTGGCCTAAAGGATAAGACGTGCATCGAACACCGGTGCATCGCTCAACGCGAATGCACCGGTGTTCGAATCCCGCAGGCTGGTACCAATTTTTCTAATGAAGTACGTACTTAACAAATGTTCACGACTGACTTCCACGGTCAAGGAATAACATCGTGTAATAAAAATCAAACCCGCAAAATTATAATTTGCGTTTATTATAATTTGCGACGAGCTCACAGCCCACCTGGTGTTAAGTGGTTACTGGAGCCCATAGACATCAACAACGTAAATGCCGCCACCCACCTTGAACCGTGACTTCTAAGTCAAGTTCAATCCGAAACGCATTACTGCTTCACGGCAGAAATAAGCAGGGCGGTGGTACCTACCCGTGCGGACTCACAAGAGGTCCTACCACCAGTAATTACGCAAATTATAATTTTGCGGGTTTGATTTTTATTACACGATGTTATTCCTTCACCGTGGAAGTCAATCGTGAACATTTGTTAAGTACGTATTTCATTAGAAAAATTGGTACCCGCCTGAGATTCGAACACCGGTTCATCGCTCAACACGAATGCACCGGACGTCTTATCCGTTAGGCCACGACGACTATATAACATTTTATTGTAAATTATTTTTAATGTCGTAATTCAACTTCAACTGCATCCATTCTTCCGTTTTCAAAGTAGAACTCTTGCATAATAAAATCTACTAACATAATTAAATAAATACAAAACATTTTGTCTCTAGAAACCGAAGTCTCCAAGTTTGATTTTTTATCATGGAATGCATGCATGAAAGCGCCATTATTATTATTATTACACAATCTCTCGCATTGAACTTCAACAATCCGGTAAATCAAGTTTAATCATTCTATTATTTTAGGTAGCGCTTGTGTACTAGTTGGGATGGTGATAGCGATGCTGGATCTAATATGGCCGCATCGTTTCTCGACTGTTCTGGAGGTGGACTATGACACTCCTTACGACAGGCACGTGCTGATTGTCGACAGCCGACAACGAGCGAGACCTCAAACTCAAGCTTCGTTGCCTACTAGAATTTTAAGGTACGTTGTTTTTATTTACTGTGAAGGCGTGTTAAGGGTTCAAGCCCCATGCTTTTTATTTCTGAATGCAATGAATATATGGAAGTTCCGATCTGTAAGGTGCAACAGCCGTTAGACAGTATAATTTCAACTTAGACCTCTTGTCTCAAAGTGTTTGGCGGCATTTAGATTTTCATGTCTTAACAACAGATGAGCCGTAAGTTGATCTGTAAATTTAGAATGATAAAATAAATAATTAAAGATTTAGAGTTTACAGTGTAATAATGTAATTAGAACACGATATAATTTTCCATTAATTGCTAATTAAATTACTTTACAGTTTTCGTAACTAGTTACGGATGCTTCAAACGATATTATTTTAAATCATATTTACGACTCATGAAATGTATAAAATAATTATTGAATTTATGTATAAAGGTACACTAATCACTTCTAGATGTTGGTTGTCCTCTGTTATTGGAGATGAATAGTAATTTTAGTATCATAGATTAACATTTTTAATTAACTTTTATAATACGAATAGTAACTTAATCTCTATTGAAGATCGTAAACAAATAAATAACCAAAGTTGATTAACACAATAAATCTGATATGATAGGATGTTTTTTTATTTTATTTAGAAGATTGTCGTCAAAGACCCGTGAAAACGAAGCACAAGCCAGTTTGTCGGTTGTAAATGAACGGGGTCGGGACAACCCTGCTTTTAGACATGAACAGCGGAAACCTAACTCTCCGTGGAGGTACCCGCTCTTTAGGCGACAGATAGACAGGTATGTCTTTTCAAAAAAAAAATTACCGTCTTCAAATAATAAAATAATAGTTTAAAAAAACTAACAAAATGCGCTTTTATAGAAAATCCAACCAAAAAATAGAATATAAATTTTAATAAATTTGAATTAAAAATAGTGTAAGAAAAAATGATTTTATTGTAATAAAAAGCGTGGGGTACTTTTTAGGATATTATCAACATAACCCATGATACCATGCAGCCCACGCTTTTTTTACAATAAAATCATTTTTCTTACACTATTTTTAATTCAAATTTATTTTCTATTTTTTAGTCGGATTTTCTATAAAAGCGTAAATTATTATTTATTTTTAATTTTTTAGTTTAATTTCAATTTTTCCAATATTTTTTAAAAATATTGAATTGTCCTCGGTCGTTAATAAGTATACCAAATTTCGTGTTAATCCGACGTTTTGAAGGGGGTCAAAATCATGTTCAAAGATTCCGCTACAAACATACATACGTCTGAAGCTATAAATCGTATTAAAAAGAGGAAATCCTCAATTCGGAGCCTGTGTTTTTTATTTACTAACACGGGAAAACGAACTCACCGTCCATTTAGAGTTTAGCACATAAAGGAGTCGATCATAGTATTAAAGTTGCCGTCTACCAAATATAAAATGGTATTTAAAAGATCCATATGTCTGCGGTGCATGCTTACATTTCGATCATGAATTTTCACTGTAAGTGCGTCTTTGTCATAATGTGGCTTATGATATCTGGGCGATTATAGCGACATGCATGTATCAGGTTATATATATCTTTGAGTCCTTTGCCCATAAATAATTACCAAAAAGTACTGGTGGGTGAAGACGTTACACCATTTGCCGCTACTGCTCTCATAAAGTAAAAAATATTTTCGCCGAGTTTCTCGCCGGATCTTCTCAGTGGGTCGCGATTCCGATCCGGTAGTAGATTCTTTCGCGAAGCAATTGCTCTTGAGTTGTTAGGTCTCCTTCGGAAGCGCTCGGGCAGTTCTTAGCAAATCCCACTCCTCCTGGCTGAGCCTTTGCTCGCCCACCTGTCCTGGTGAAACTGGAAAGGCCTCCATGACACCATTAATCTTTCTCTTTTATAAAAAAAAAAAAAATCTTATCTTTATTTCAGAGCGGACTCAGCATCGAGTCTCGGTTCTAGTGTAAACGGGAACAGTTCCGGAATAAAAATGTCACCGCTCGCGAGCGATCACCCCGCGCCATCAGCCGCCATCCCTCCACATAGGTAATGAATAAATTTCTCGATGAAAATATTATAATAAAATAGAATATAATAAATAAATAAATTAATTAATGATAATAAATCGTATAGATGTAAGGACCATTGTGTACAAACTCAGCACTTTGTCTTGCTTAGTCGTGCACACATGGCTTATGTCGCAAGCCAGATTTTGTTTCTTTTTACTTGTGTTTTTGTGTATCTTTTTAGCTTGTGTATGTGTATTGTGTGCCTAATAAATAAAATAAAATAAAAATTAAATATCAATATTAGGGTTATCGGGTAGGTTAGCAATCTAGCTTCACCGAATGTATTTTGAGGTCACAGGGATCAGCCTGGGAAACTTTTTCAATGTCTGCGATTTCTGGAAACACATTAGATAAGGTTAAAAATAAACCCGGATGATTCTAATTACCCGTTAGGGGTTACTGTAAGGTATTTATATCTATGAACTCAACCACAGAATAAGGCCTAGTAAGCAGTCGTAATTATGTAATTTTATTAATATCTTTGGTTTAATTCGACTAAATCATTATTTTATTATAAAAATATAATTTGTAAACAAATGCCAAATGCCTATTTTTATATAAAAAAAAAAATGTGTGCGTGTACTAGTGTACACACGTAAGAAGTGAAACTTGTTTATGGCCTTATTTTTCGAAAAATGATCTACATGCAACTTTCTAGAAATTGGTTAAATAAAGTTAAATTAGATAAAGTTTAAACAAAAGGATTTTATTATCATAGACATGAATACAAAAAAGTTAAATTAGATAAAGTTTAAACAAAAGGATTTTATTATCATAGACATGAATACAAAAAAGATGGCGCGTAACGGAAAAATGTGACGCGTAACCGAAAAATGTGACGGTAAATTTTTTTCCAACGCCGATAAGGAAGTTTCACTTCAATTAGTACTAAACCATGTTGGCATAGAGAATATTTGCTTTTTTCCCTCTGAAATCTTATATAACACAACATTATATAATATATCTTATATAACAAATGAGGGCTCACAATTAGCAGCCTTTTAACAGCATATTTTATGTCGTCGTGGCCTAAGGGATAAGACGTCCAGTGCATTCGTGTTGAGCGATGCAACGGTGTTCGAATCCCTGGCGGGTATCAATCTTTCTAATGAATTATGTACTCAACAAAATATGTTCACGATTGTCTTCCACGATGAAGGAATAACATCGTGTAATAAAATTGAAACCCGCAAAATTATAATTTGCGTAATTACTGGTGGTAGGACCTCTTGTGAGAACAAAAATATTAACTATGTTAATGACATGGACTATTACTTTGGCGATTGATAACCGGAACTGATTAAAGAACAATCTTACTTGGACCACTGTTTCCATTTACAGGTTCCGCCCGCAAATTCCGGCGGCGGAGCGAGTGAAAGACATGTGGTGATTAACAATCGGCACTAGGATTAATTACATATTTTAAAACTCTCTGATAATCGTGTAAAAATATTTTTTGATGTTTTAGTAAGCACGTGAATAACACGGACCAGACACAGATTTACCAAAATGCTAAAAAAACTTTCATATCGGTCGAAGCAATGGCTTTCCAATCGAAACAATAGTTTCGCAACATCGTTCCTTCAGTTTGGTGAACACTCATCGTCAGCAAATTTGTATTGATTCGAATATTTTCAAAATAATAATACCGTTTTGCGCGACTCTGATAGCTCCTACACTTTATTTAAATGTAACTGCTGTCAATCAAATTCTGTCGTATAATGAATTTTTAAGTGTGCTCCTTCTAAATATAAAGGAAAAAAATAAATTGAACAAATGTTTTAGTTACTGATCTCTATCACAGAATGTAAGTAGATAGTTATTAAAAATTAAAAATTCACATCGTGTACACGTTTGTAAGTATATATAATGTGTGTAAATATGTAAATTTTAATATAAACTATGTAACTAAACATTCAGTGTCATAAACTTTATAATAAACATAAGAATATTGTTATGTGTGCGTTAATTCGAATTTAGTCTCAATTTTACACCGAAATAAATGAGAATTGTTAAAACAAAAGCTAAATTATGAACGTAATCAAAGACGATTCTCGATTCTGGCATAACCGTTATTTTTTCTTCAAAATTAAATAGCCGAGTACTATTTTCTCATTTGATGTTTTCTATCTTAACTCTTATAAACAAATTCACTTAAACATTAACTGAATATTAAAGAATCACACTAGTTTATGTAATTGTAACTCACTTATATATATATCTGTTAAGTAAACCATGAAAATCATCATGTAAGTCTTGAAATTGACGGAAATATACATATATATTTCTGTACAATGTTTATACCGTAAACTGAAACAAAATTATATTTGTGTTTTCAGCAGACTATAGTTTCAACATTAATAAATAATATTGCATAATCTTATGAAATAAAACACATGATATCTGCATATAATTAAAATACATTGACACAAATGAATGCTTTGTGCCATTATAACCTTAATTATGATGTGATCAAAATCTTAGATTAAGACAACTGCACACTTCATTGTTATAAAAAAAAAACAATTAATAATGTACAGATTAACGTTTTTGAACCAGTTATTTTTAACAAGTGACATGAGTATTAACGAAATGTTTCTGTGTTATTTAATAACCTAAGATTATTTTATGGATTAACCTTTAAAGGTCACAGAGAAAGGCAATGGTAAATCACAGAATTAAAAAAAAATCAGCGCAGTCAAGTAACTGTAAATTTAGATATAAGTTATTTATTTTGTAAAGTTGAAATTGAACAAGAACGAATGGATGAAATATGATATTTATGTATGAAAATGTTGTTTAGTATCAATCAATCAAAAAAATTGTGTAGTAAGTAGGTATCAAGTATTAAAATCTAAAATGTTCAATGAAATATATTCAATGTTGCGAAAATGTGTTTGCAACAGTGAATATGTTGTGATTCTAATTTAATTAGTCAAAGGACTCTTACTCGATATACTGTTTATTGTACGTACATCACCCGATCGAGGGTGATTACAAAAACGGATCATTCACATACACACCATAAAATATAATAGGTACATCAATTGTAAAATTAGTTATGAAAAGGCGGCAAAAAAGGTTCTAGTAAAAAATTTATGCGTGTGCAATAAATTTAGCGCCCGTTTTCAAAAACGTGTATCTCTAATTAAATCTATAATTGACCTAGAATGAGAATTATTTGAGAGTGCCTGATAATGAAACTATTTATTGTGATAAAAAAAATAAACAAATTCCAAATGAAAATCTTTTTATTTTCGTTAAAAATTAAATACGATTCCAATCCAAATTATCAAAAATATAAATGTAAATCTAAGATTGTTCTTTCACAAGATGTTCCAAGTTGAGTTGGCACAGGAATGCATTCCAGTTGACGTAGCCTTCCTGGATGAGATTCTCGTTTTCGGCCCACAATTTGCACTAAAAGATTTTAAAAATGCGAATTGCTTATTATTTAATAGAATATCTAAAGGAAACAGAAGAAAGAATTTTAATAGGTATCTTAGAAGTGGTCTGTTCGGCGAATATGTTATTTAAGGATATTTGTATGCGATATTACCAAATTACTTTCCCTTCAATGTCTACCGTTTTAATAGTCTACAATAGGCTCATTTGTAATAATCCTAGTAAAAGAGCCTTATTATTCCCAACAAATTTAATTGAATATTAATATACTAATTCATCCTATACACACTGTGAAGAACTTGTGCACGTAACAAAATTATTTGAAATATATTTCATTATCGAAACACTTAATATCCTTACACCTATATTCGCAAACTACGAATATGTATAATTAAATAGTAAATTATGTAATCACTGCAACAAAAAAAAAACACGTGTGGCACTCGGGGACTGCCGCGGTAAAGCTATTCCGTTTTTATCAACTTATGCAATTATATTATAATTAGACCATAATAATTTAATATTAAAACAATAATAAAATAAGACCTATACTCTACGTTATACTCTAATACGCTATATTTATAAACAATGACGAAAGAAAAAAACATTAACTGTCCTCTTGACACTCATAAGCTAGACCGCGCGAGAGAAAGACGGGCATACTTTTCGTGATGCGCATGCAGTGCGACGTCACAACCCGCGCTTATTCACAAACACTACACAAGCGCAACGTGTGAATATGTTGAGCGCGAGCTACATGGTAGGCGGAGGGGGGGTATTAGGTTTTATTTTCGTTACGGAATTTATTAATTCGGTCGCCGCGCTCAAATCCCGCGATAAAAGCTATGCAATAGCTTAAAAAAACTTTAGAAGACAATGTATTTAAATATAATTAGAGTGTAAATACGTAATAATGATTAATATTAACTTTCAACTACCTCAGTATCTTTCAGCGGTGGCGCGTGCCTGACGACCTTCTGATAATCATCCTCCGTCAGATTGAACACTGGTCGAGTTTGGAAATCCAAAAACTTCAACAAATCTTCATAGTAAATGTTACAGTTTTCGTCCTTTTCCAATCTGAAATTGTCTTTCATTATTTAGTTTAGACGAATTGTAAAGGCCTTTTCGTGATTCCGTAGACTAGTGACATTTCATTTGCAATAGATGAATCGTGACGTCTTATCCTTTAGGCCACAACGACTACGAATTATCTAAATAAATATACTATTATCATCTATATATTAATAAGTGAAGCAAAAACTTTGTATCCCTTTTTACGAAAATTGCGCGGACGGAGGTGTATGAAATTTTCTACACTTATAGAGAATAAGAGAAGAAGTGCACATTGCTAATATTTTTTTTAAATTATGCACACACACACACGCATGCATACTATTTCCTTATTGTCAAACTTATCTTATTGCTTATAGTATGTGGTCAAATTGAGAATAGATTAAATATTGTTGTCTTTATTAATATTTGACTAAGAAGTTTAGTAGTCTTTGACAATATAATCATAATAGTGTACAAACATAAAATTTCAATTAATTATAGTCGAATTTCGACTACCGGGGGACTACTAGTTATTATTATTAAAATAGCAAAGGAACCCACACTTGCAGCATGCAGTCCATGAGGTCGGTGTTGATAGTGAGTCGGTGGGCGCGGAGCAGCTGTCGCAGGCGCTCCGGCGCCACCGCCCCGGTGCCGAGCTCGTCGGCGTGCACGAGCCCCTCCCGCAGCCGGGCGCGGTCGTCCCACAGGCCACGGGTCAACTCCGTAAACACTAACGACCTGTTTCGTGATATTCTAGAATCTAGATATTCATTGTTACTGTAGTGTCCAGCTCGCTTTTTTTTCCTACCTAAGTTGATAGCCTTGAGAGGCTATATCAGCGTAACCTTAACTAGTAGATGAGCTCACGGGACTCAAACCTGACGACGTTGCTAGCACGAACCCTAGCAAGAGCCGTGCTTCGCAGAATGTACCACCGGATCGGAAACGCGACCCACTCAGAAGATCCGGCGAGAAACTCAGTGGGCTGTGTCTGAGGGTTAATTTACTCGTCGAGCCCTTCGTCGCAAGCGACGGGTTCGACGAGAACGATGATCGGGCAGCTCGCATTTGTGTTTGCACAAGTGAAATTAGTTTGAGAACAAAAAAAAAGATTTATGTAATAATATCATATTTTTTTTAAAAAGGGGGGAGGTGTAGTGTGCAGCTCACCTAACCTTATATTTGTAACTGCACACACTGAATTATAACAGTATTACACGAATTGTCGACTTGAACAGTTCTCTTTTATTTTGCCTCATTGACATCGCTCCAATACATTACACCTAGAAAACTTTTTACTGAGACGAATGACTTGTACTTCATAAACTGATGAAAATTAATCTCACAAATAAACTTTAGTATTTAATATTACCTAATCATTTCACGTCGCGGGCTTTTCTCTTTCCCTGGATCACCTCGAAAATGTCTAACCAAAGTCAAAAACTCGTGTTGTGTCATTTTTTCGCACATTATTTCCTTCAGAGCTTGCCTGAAACCGAAACATTAAATTAAAACCTCAAAAATTTATAATTAATTCAAAAAAGCAACAACGTAGCTTATTAGTTTCGAATCCTATGAAGTTTCTAGAAAATTTATCGAAGGTAGACGTGGTAATCTCCTCTAATTTCACGAGATCAATTGAAACACATTTTCCTAGAGTCCCTTGAGTTATCAATGTAACATACCGTTTTAAAGTAAGCAATGAACAGTGCTCCTATTTGGATATATTTTTTTCAAATTCATCAAAGATAAACGAACTAACGGCCATGTTATCATTAGTCTACACTGTCGGTCTTGAGCATAGATATAGACAAGTCACTGCACACAGCTATGTATACTTAAAATATACTAAAACACGATATCTATGCAACAACTCCGAATCAAGTTAATTCAAATGAAAAAATATTCTAATACATATACTTAAGCATAAGTAATATTCTAATTTATTTATTTTAGGAAGTACGAGACGGAAGGTAACAGCTCCCGAAGCTGACTAGTAGTTAATGTGCCATGTTAAATAAATAAATAATTAATGAATCATTTCTTAAGCTAACAATATTTAGTTTAACAACAAGCATTGTAGCGCGAAGGTAGCCAGAGATGTTTTGCTGCGTCACGCAACACCATTGACGCCTACAAAGGCGTCAATACAAGGGGCCCGCTCTGGCTCCGCTCGGGTCTTTAACAAAAATTTCAACGATATTTGACGTTGTTTTTTTTTAAATAAAAGAACATCTATTGCGGCATAAGTACAATAGTTAGACATATGCTGTCGCGACACTTTTTGTAAATAATAATGTGTTCTACAAAGTCGTACTACATTATTTTATTCTATTATCACAGGGCACGCGATGTAAAGAATATTTTAGGTATTTTTTTTACACCTTGGGTTACATTATTGGAGTTTTAATAAGGATCCCTAATTTTTTTCAAAAAAGTTTATAACCTATGTCACTCGGGAATAGTGTAGCTTCAAATCGGTTCAGTAGTTTCGGAGCCTATTCAATACAAACAAACAAATCTTTCCTCTTTATAATATTAGTATAGATTGCAGTACATTGCGTGTACGTGTTAGATAGATATGTGGAAGCGAAAATCTGCGGCACTACCGCTAATCTTCAGCTTCGAGAGCGTTTCTTTTATACATATTATATTTAATTTTAATAAAATCGTACTTGAAACATCGGACGCTCATAAGTTCCTTATTATTTGGTAAAACAGCTTCCATGTATTTAGCCACAAAGTTTTTATAACCATTTTCTTGAGACGCCAAAAACCTTCGAATCTTGTCCATAATCAAAGCTATGTTCGCCATAGGATACTATAAACCCACATTTTCGTATTAATATAGAACAATACGATTAAAGATATTTTTTCAATTGCGTAATTAGTCAGTTTAGCTCACCACCCGATGTTAAACGACACACTGAGCAAAGTTAAGAGTTAAGCCAGTCTACTATTTTCATTGCTTAGATTGTTGTACGAGCTCAAGGTCTATGTGCTGTTAAGTGAGTACTGGAGCCTATAGAAATCAACACCTTGAGGGTCTCCGATCTACCTTGAGACATGAGTTCTGAGTCTCAGTTTTATAGTACAATGTCCGCGCAACAAACTAGAACGCATTACTGCTTCACGGCAGAAATAGGCATCCCTTCCCGTGTGCGCTCTCAAGACACTTATCAAGACAAGACCTTTCTTTAAAAATACTATTAAACGCAACTATTAGACCACCCTTCAAAATTAAAAATTATAGCGGCTCCTTAACAGACTCACAATGCTCCTAATGATTATGATTTCTCAGAAAGCTCAGCCTTAAACTTAAGATTTCTTCAGCAAGATATTTCGGTACCGTCCACAGAAACAACAATTACCTCGTCCGAATGCAATTCTAAATATCGCAAAGCGTATTCGTCAGCGGAAATGAGACGAAAACGATGCTTGTTGATGACCAGCTCGTTTCCGACCCACATGTCTTTGTCTGTGTACGCGGGCGGTTCGTTCGGAACGAAAAATTCAACGTCTGGCAGATACATCTTGTCGCGTCGAAAGAATTTACCACCCTAAAAAGTGATACATGAAAAAGTTACTCATTAGTTAGTCTCATTGTAAAAAATTCATATTTAAAAAAATAATAATCTAATATTAAAAAATAAATAAATAATAATTTCAAATAAAAAAAATAAAAAAAAGACATGCCCGCTGAGTTTCTTGCCAATTCTTCTCAGGACGGAGGCTAGTTCTTGTGAATTGGCGGTAGTTCTTTTGACGTTCAACAAGTATGTACTTTCATTTATGTTGAATAAATTTTTTTTGATTTGATTTGATTTGATTTGATTTGATTTGATTTACGACTTTTAGGCGGGAACGAGAGGGGTGAAGTTGTGTGATTTGTTATATTTTGTCTAATTAGTGCTTCTTCAGGTTTCAGGTTCTTCAGGTTTTCATTTCATTTCATGCCATGTTTCATAATAATCAACTTCATTTCATTTCACAATATTATATTTCATATAAAAAAGTTAACATTAAAATTAAAATAATACCTGACCTAAAGCCTTAGACCAAGACCAAAACCTTAGATCATAAAATCCCTTAAAAAAAAATAATGAAAAGTGACCACGCAACCATGCGACTTTCGAATCACCAGCGAATGCAATGGAAGCTCGTAGATTTAATGCATCATAGTAAAGTAATAATTCTATGACATAATTTAATATAAGCAAACATGATAAACAATAATAATAAAAACATGACTGCCACAAAAAATAACACAACTGCAGTTGAAAATAAGGAATAAATAAATAAGAAAAGAAAACACATTCAAAACTATTATTCCAGGTTAATCTCGCGTTTATTCTTTCCGACGCTTCGGATACTTCAGTTTTATTGGCCACGAAAAAATAGGAGCATATTATATTCATCAAAATTTAAATACTGTACTAACTACCCTCAGAAGTTTAAAAGAAAATATTAAAATTTACGATTAATAGAAAAATTTTACAAACAGAATGAATTAGCAATATCTTTATCTTGAAGTGGGGCAGTTTATTTATTTAATTAAAAGAAGTTGATTTAGTATTAAAACTTGTAGAGCTCACGAAACCGAAAAGAAAGTAGGTACTTAAAATATACATAATTTTTTCCCAATAAAATTCCAATACCTTGAAACCGGAGTTCCTTTCGCCCAACTCAAAGATACCAATTGTATCATCACACAAAAAGTATTTAACAATAAAATAGCGGCGTTCATCTTCAGGGTTGTCGGTTATGAGTCGAGCAGCAAATCGAAGAATATGAGAATCAAAGCCGACCCTAGAAATAAAATAGTACATTGTGCACCAAGGGAGAAAAGTAGGACATTTCGTCCCGCGTGTAAAATTACCGGTGGCAAACACGCGGGATGAGATGTCCTACTTTTTTCCCGCAGTGCACATACTATTTGTTCTCCTACCAGGCCGAAAGTTCGTGGAGTACCGAGCCGGGGCCCAGGGCGGGCTCCCCCCCCCCCTACTCCTAAGAAAACAATTTAACTGTTTTTTAATTTTTAAGTAAACTAAGACTAATTGAATAAGAACTGTCTGATGAACTCATCTTTTTTTAATACTTCATTATTAAATTTTATTGCCTTTTGTTTATTTCACTTTTACACTAAACACTATATTGCAAATTACTCGAGCACAACAATGGCGGAGAATTTTAGGTGCGTGAGAGCAGACGTAGACACTACCCAGTTGTCAGTACCCAGGGAGGAATAGTTACACTTTCATCCCTGTACAGCGGGAGGAAAACAGAACTTTCGGCGTAGGTAGGAGAAAAAAAAATCTTCAACAAATTCTTGCTGTTGATGGTGCTGTTTGAAGATTGAGATAGATAGACGTAACTTCAACCTCATGTTTCAAAGCGAACTGAAGCCTAAGAGCGATGCTAAAATTCGAGGCACTATATACCTGTCTTTATGAATAAATTTCATAAAGTCCCTATGAGGTGCCTTCGGTTCCACAGTACGACAGTTCTCAGCTGAATCGTCGTAGGATCCGTAGCCGTTCCATGGAGGCAACTTCCGTTCTGATACATTAGTGCTCACACATTCTGAACTATCCTTGTTTGGTATTGTCAACGGTGTGAAAGTGTCTGAAGGAATAGAACGTAATCATCTATTTATTGAAAAGGTTTCGTAAATATCAGAAATTTATAATAATTAAAAAGAACTAAATTCTTAGATACCTACCAAATCCGTATGTAACTCTGTAATATTCTTTAGTGAATGGATCACAGTCGGTCAAAACTACATTACGACCAAAAACGTTTAAAATAGCACCGATGCTTAGATCCGCCGGACCATAAGAGGCCTGCTTCGGACCACCCGTCATTTCGACATGCGAAGGTATTTTCTAAAAGCAAACACGTCAGTAATACTTAATTCAATTCCTTTGAATAGCGGCTCGTTACATATTGCTAGGTAAACCGTACTCGTGGTAACCGCATTCTCTTCAAGAACATAGGGCCGGCTTCCATTCCAGAATTGGCTGGCATGACTTCCTTTATTTCGATGGTATCATCCGCCAGAAAGTAATGAATTTCCATGTTGTGTAATATACCAAATTCTGAATCCCGATCATCCCAGTATCCGTAAAACCTAAAATTTATTGACAAATCGAGTGGATACTGTATACTCTAGCTAATGCACTATGAGATCTGAGACTTTGTAAATATTAATTTTTTTTTTTTTGTTATTGCTTAGATGGGTGGACGAGCTCACAGCCCACCTGATGTTAAGTGGTTACTGGAGCCCATAGACATCTACAACGTAAATGCGCCACCCACCTTGAGATATAAGTTGTAAGGTCTCAGTATAGTTACAACGGCTGCCCCACCCTTCAAACCGAAACGCATTACTGCTTCACGGCAGAAATAGGCAGGGCGGTGGTACCTACCCGCGCGGACTCACAACAGGTCCTACCACCAACATACATACATATTTTTTTACATATTTATTTTTTATATAAATCGAGATATATTTTATAAAGGTGTAATCCTTCCATTGTACTGTCGGTAATAACGTTGTGAAACTGATCGGCCTAATCATTCTTAAGCTATCGGTGTAGAAAGCCTTAAATTCCAAGATACTGAATTTTTATTTCAACTATCTCTGTTATGTCACCCTAAAACTTCACCTTATACCCTATGCTCACCTTAAAACTTGTCTGTCATAATCCAGGAATTGCTTAAAAGGTCGCTGTTTCGGAGGTTTTCCACCGGCAGGTGATCTCTGAAAAGACGGGCACGTTGAAAATTCAATATTCGTAATTTCAATAGTTAAATTACAAACAAGAACATGACTACAAAATGTATTACCTCAATTGCATCGGGCCACGGAATAGGATCAGGTACGTTTATACCAAGACGATTCAAAAATACTCTTGTAAAATTATCACAGTTTACAATCTGCAAAATTAGTTTTGTTCTTAAATCAAAAGTTTATGAGAAATTAAGCTCCCGCCATTTAAGTAAGAAAATTATGATATTTATCATTACCACCAACAGGCTACCAGCGAATAGGTAGAGGGAAAAAAATCATATGCTTAAAAAGCGTTTAAAAATTACTAAATCTGAATAATTTCGCAATTTGTTTTTAACGTTAAACAAAAATACTGTAGACATCCACGTATTAAATATCATTTTGGAATTTATTCAAATGTCAAAACTATTTTTATTAATAAAAATAATTTTTCATGAGAAATATATACATTTATTTCTTTTACACTCAATTTTTTTTTTCCTCAAATTAATAGAAAAAAAGAAAAAATATGTATGTATTATATTATAAGGAAATAAAGGTAACGACTCTCTGCCGTAAAGCAGTAATGCGTTTCGGTTTGAAGGGTGGGGCAGCCGTTGTAACTATACTGAGACCTTAGAACTTATATCTCAAGGTGGGTAGCGCATTTACGTTGTAAATGTCTATGGGCTCCAGTAACCACTTAACATCAGGTGGGCTGTGAGCTCGTCCACCAATCTAAGCAATAAAAAAAAATATAAAACGCGGCGCGATAAAAAAAAAAAACAGACCTGGACACTTTTATTGAGGCCCAAGCTAACCACCCGTCCACGTATGTAGAAGTAATATAAAATTGAAGTCCTTTCACTGATAGGATTACCTTAAAAGTTTTTCCATAAAATGTAACTTCACGGCCAATGTTTAAATCAAGCACATCATAGTACATGTCGTAACTGAAAGGCAAACGTATTCTTTGGCGACTTATCAAAGTACCTGAAAAACAATTGTTTTAAATTGTAATTAATACTAATAATCTCTATTGTAAATTTAGAATTTTAAATTATTCACCTTGCGACAATCCGCTATTCTCAGTCTTCGGCTCTATAACCTTTATAGTACCATCTTCGAGAAAAAAGAAAATATCAACTTTACGTAAAATATGAGATGCTGACCGCATTTCATGCAGTGATTGTTGAAAGAACCCTTGAAACCGTAAAATCTGTAAAAGAGTTCGCATTGAAAACAGAAACAAAAACAGAATGGAAAATATTCTTTACAATTAATAAGAATATGAAACAGCCGTGTTACCTTTACATACAATAATATTATTTTATTTGCAAAACAAGCAAACTTTACAAATCTAGCTTAACGTAAATCTAAATGTTACTCATGACGTCATTTGGGGCCAATATAAAAAACGAGCTATTCATAGATTATTACAAAGTATAAATAACAGTTACCATTAGTAAGTAATAATTACCCAAGAACAAATAAAAGAAGTTACAAGATTTGTTAATATTTTAAATTGATTTAAACTATAAATCATGATCACAAATACATAATATCGAATTATCGTTTTTATTTCATTAACATCCTCTTTTTGGGTTCATTTTATTGATTTCCTATTGCATAATGGGCACAGACATTTTGCGAAGGGGTGGGATTTGCTAACGGCTGCCTGAGCGCCTCCGAAGGAGACCTAACAACTCAAGATCAGCTGCTTCGCGAATGGATCGGAATCGCTGCTCGCTGAGAAGATCCGGCGAGAAACTCATCGGGCTGATGCATGGGTTTTGTTAAACATCGACCTCTTTGTCGAGTTCGACGAATAGGTTACCGGAGTCCATAAGAGCTAAAAACGTCTAATGCAAAGGTCATTGGATCCGTAAGCACGAGCCTAGGGCGTCGACGGTGACTGGCTCCTGCGTGATCAGGATTCGGGGAGTAGTCAGCAGCGGCAACGATAAGGCGATTATCATGACGCATAGCCTTATCGAAGTACCGTTCCGACGCTGGCTTCATGTATTTCCGGATTGATTCGATGCCCAGGTCGTCGTGTAGGTCAACGTTCCTCACGAACCACGGAGCACCGACGGCTAGCCTGTAAAAGCGGGATTGTGGGGATTGGAAGGTGTCTATATGTGTGCGGGCCGCGTGAGCGAACACCACACTCGCGGAAGTCAGTGACGGGACTTATGCAAGTTTTGTAAAGTATCACCTTGTTCCGAAGGGACATTTTACTCCGCTTACCGATCATGAGATAGGGTCTACCGAGAATAAACGCGGCACGGTCGCGGACTGATTTTATATGCGGGCGGAATGTCATAGATGCATCCAGGGTAACTCCCTGACCTTCCTGCCCCAGGGTACGGGTTGGCTAAAGAGGGTAATCGGGAGGTGTAAGATTCCTCCTCCTAATCCGGGAGAAAATCCGTGTGGAGTTTCCCCTTTGAAATAGCACCGCCTGTGCTTTTTGCTGGGTTGATGTCTATGCGCCATTTTCGGAACCACTGTCCTAAGGTTACGGCTGCGCTCTGGAGTTTCCTCACTATTAGGGACTTGTTTCTACTCCAGTAGTAAACGGTCGTGTCGTCAGCGAATAAGGCTAACTGGATCAGCGGCGACCGGGGAATGTCGTTTGCAAATAAACAAAACAGGAGCGGCGAGAGGACGTTGTCTTACGAGACTCCAGCTATGGGCGGTCGTTCTGAGGAGCAAGTTCCCTCAACTCGATATCGAAAAGAGCGGTTCGATAAGAACTCTCGTATGATGAGCACGAGACGTCTGTATAGTAAATAGTCCAGCAGTTAGTAATTTCAAGTGGCTACAAAAGAGCAAAATTTCGATTCAAAATGGTATTTTGAAGCCATTTTTACAGATTTCCATCAAAGTATCAAGAAGTTTCAAGAACAAATTCAATTTTTTTTATACTTACGTTCTTATCATACATGATCCAAGTTGGAAGATCAGGTGCCTGTTTCCGACTGTACATCGACGGAACTTTATTCACGCCTTCAGCTTTGTCAACTAGCATATTGACTTTGTCAATAGATGCAAATACTGGACGTACTCCGAAATTCTTTTTTCCTAGCTATAAAAATAAAGTACACATATGGAACTTGTTACATATTCGTTAATCTGATGAAGGTATTATTTTTGTTTTTATTTCGGTCAAAATATTGCTTTCCCTTTATTTTACAGATTAGCGCTTTGCATCTAACTTCCAAAAAGTTAAGTTCGACGTTGAAAAATAATTATGGATGTACATGAAATGATAGCCCAAATTAATATTAACCATTATTAAATTGGTGGAAAGAAGATACTTTCGGAAGTCACCCCTGCTCGAAATATTTAAATGATTTAAGAATAAAGCAAGTATATATTTTATAAAAAAAAAACATCGGAATAGCAGTTAAAAAGTCTGCATGGGTCAGTGAATGTTCAACAATATCTGTCCCGCAGTTCATCTTAGGTTGACACATTACGTACACCTAATTTATAAAAAATTGCAAAGCTAAAATACTGTATGATAAGGGTCGATTATAAAATGAATTAAAAATTAACGATTCTTGTTATTCTTAGACTAAATCGAAATTAATACGATTTACAAGTAAATTTTTACCTACCAGCGGGTTAGTGCCATAGCCAGGTAACAGCGGAAGGCGGGGATTTCTAATAGCCATTTTAACTATAACTGAACTTTAAATAATTTAAAAAAGTAGACAATTAAAGGCCTATTTTAAAGCAAAATTATTAATGTATCAAAATCTTGGGAATAAGTAAAATGTCTGAATTCAAAATGTTAAACGTCAATAGATGTATGTGAAGCTTAATAACTGTATTATCTATGAACATAAAATTTGAATCAATATTATCTTTGCTAAGCAACTGAGAAATATTAAATCCATATATTATGTAATAGGTAATCTTTTAGCTACGTATTGCAATGAACCAGTGCATAGCATACCCGATCCGGTGGACCGAATGGTAAACAGTTGACGTCGCCCTAAACGTCATTACCGATCCTCCCGATCCATTAACGGTGCTTTTAGATACCTCAAGCACTGGTCACTGTCCTCCCCGAACTCGTCGCTTGCGACGAAGAGCTCGACAAGTAAATTAAACATTTTTTTCCTACCTATGCTAATAATAATATAATAATAAATGCGCAGCGGAAGACGTAACGTGGGACGCCCCTTGGCTAGGTGGTGCGATGACTTCCGCACGGTGGCCGGCAAGAAGTGGATGAGGAGAGCCGCAGACCGGGCTCAGTGGTGTGGATTGGGAGAGGCCTATGTCCAGCAGTGGACGACTGTGGGCTGTTGATGATGATGATGATGATGATGATGCTAATAGCCTTGAGAAGCTATATCAGCTTCTCCTTGACGTGTAGGTGAGCTCACGGGGCTCAACCGGGTGTGTTGCTAACACTGGCCCTAGCAAGAGCAGTGCTTCACAGAATCTACCACCGAATCGGAAACGCGACCCACTGAGAAGATGCGGCGAACTCAGTGGGCTGTCTATGCTATTTTTGAATTTGCTATTTTCCGATATGAAGTACAAGTAAATATTGAATATAATTCCTTGGACTGCATTTTTTAACCGTTTTCGAGGTTCCGACATGGCTATATAACCTTTTTATAAGTAATCTGAAAATATTATGATCAAAACTATAGCGAATATTTGAATTACATATTATCCACTCTATATATATATTGGTCTGCTGATGCGACTTACGCCTACGGCTCTAAGATGGGTACCTACTGAAGCTATTCGAGAGAGCACGATAAATACGAACTTTTCCGAAAAATTACGAAGGACAATCTTTTCTCACTATATCAGTAGCATTAGATTACCCACACTGAAGTACTTAAGATAAAGAAAGGGCTACATATCAACTAAATATTTCTTTATTATTTATAACTGTGGATTTCAGATCAATATCAGCGACTTGGACTTTTTGGCGGAAACGCGAGGAGTGAAGTTGTGTGATTTGTTTTATTTTATCTATTTAGTGTTTTTGAAGATTTAATTGTGTAATAACGGTGGTTTACTAACTGTTTAGTATTTGAAAAAGTGCAAAATGTGAAAAAATGTAACAAAGCCACTGGACGTAACTTCTCGGGATCCTCCAAAAAGTCTAGTGAAAAAATCTCAGTAAATGACCACCATTTTACTGAGATTATATTATTTCATCCCATATCATCTCATTTTATTTTATTTCATCCCAGTTGATTAATGTCTCAAATAAATTATCTTCATTTCATTTCATTTCACTCCATATCATCATTCTTCATAAAAATAAGAATATGAATTAAAATAAGACATGACTTAGAGTCTTAGCTACCAGGTCATAAAATCTCTTAAAAAATAAATGTCATAGCCTTCAATCAGTCAATGTCAATTTCATTAATGTAAATTGTCAAAATTCAATAAATAAACAACAAGTTTTGCATTGCAACATTATCTTTTTATGACGGCTGTGTTAAACTAAATGATATTATTTTTTTAAATATGATAGACTTAAGATCTAAAATCAACTTTTTCTTCGTTTTTAACCCTACCTTTGGACCTAAGGAGGGCGATGTAAGTTGTAATGATTTCATGTAATTATACCGTTCAAATTTCAAGTAATTTTAAAATCTCTCTTTCAATTTAGGAATTAAAGAGAATACTATACTTTTATCCAAATGAAGTCAGTCCAGATGCCCGGAAAATGCAAGTTGGGCTGTGTGAAGCCGTTGTCAAATTTATGTCGTAAGTGACCACATTTTTATTGGTATAATCATATACATATCACCTACTTTAATAACCATTGACGATACAGTTGCAGTGTTCATGATCCTCAGAATTAAGAGAAAAACTGATTGCACTAGATGATATCAAACTGACGAAAATGTAGATATTATTTTAATTACATTTTCAGGACGTTTTCATCTGAACCATGTGAAGCTTTGCAAACACAATCTAAGAGATACATATTTTTTCAACCAGAAAAAAACTTTTGGATGGTTTTAGTATGTAGATACACATTTTTCTAATAATACATAAAACACAAATTTACAGATGTGAGATTCTTATAGAAATTTTAATTTATAGGTAGTCCGAATACCGTATACAACCAAAGCATTGTCAGCAGTTGGTGAAAGTCAGGGAGATATAGTAAGTGAACGAAACAATAAAAAATATATATTTTAACACTATAGATAGGCAATCAGTAAATGTAACAATTAAATGTTAGCTATGAAGTTACTAAAGTATTTCAATTTACCAATAGGCATTGAGTTATGTGCCCTTGGCATTACTGCCTTTGACATAAATATAGCTTAGTACTTACCATTACATTTCTACTTTACTGTTTTTCACAGAGATAAAGATAAAACCTTTATAATAAAATTCTTACCTTAACATACAGCAAAAAGATTTTTTTTAAATAAATTTGTCACATCTTCATTCACATTCATAATTTTGGGAATTACTAATTAAGTTAATTATCTAACTATTCATCAATTTAAATAACTGAAATAAATGATGAAATTCCTTGATTTTTTTTAGGTCAATCCTACTGTAATGCAAAATCTCCTAACATCTGCATATAAGATGTTTAAAATGTTCAGGGGCCCATTCAAAAATATTCCAGCTGATGATTTATATGGTATAAGTGAGCAGTTCTTTACGCCTGTAAGTAGTACCCGTCCGAGCGTAGCTGGAATAGCTTCTTAGGCTACCAGCCAGGTAGGCAGAATAAGTAATAAAAATAATAAAACTAATTAATTATATTTCAATTTTGTTATTGACAGTAACAATAATTCCTTCAGTTCTTAAAACTCTAATTATTATTCTATTACAAAAAAAAAAGTTCAAATAAAATTAATTATAAGTATAAATGGCACTCAGATTAAGTCATTCTTATTCGAGTTGACTTTTTTCATTTCCAAATTTTTATTTTCAGTATATATCATCCAGACATCTAACAAATGACATATCAGATGTTATTCCTGGCATAAATTATTTACCTCTAGATAAAAACTCTTTTTTTAAAGTGGTATGCTTCGTAGATCACCTGGAAGTTACTTATCCTGATTTTAAATGTATATTGTTTCTTTACAATGATCAGCTTCTATGGTAAGAAAATAAAATATTTTTGTAAACTTCATCTTTAGGAACTTTCATTTGAAAACCTATTCCTGCCGAGTACTGAGACTTAGGTCTCAAGTCTCATGGACGTATATGGACTCCGGTAACTACTAAACACTAAGTGAGTCCTAAGCTAGGTCACGCATCACGTAACAAACCAAGTATAACTTAGAATCACTGATCATCTTCAGATTTTTTTTTACTTAATACCATTTGGCTTTAGTTTGAACTTTCCTCCATTTTTTTCCTATGCATTATAACAAGATATGGATATTTTTTACCCCTGATTACCATGGGGATAAAGTGTGGATAGATAATATTTACTTTTTCTTTTCCTAATTTGAAAACTATCAAGGTGTTAATTTAAGTAACCTGTATCCTTCCACAGGAACGGTCTGTGTACAGAAGACATGCTAACATTATACCAATATCTAGTACAGACATTGCTCCCTAAACAAGTTGAAATAGAAATCCAAGGTGGTGCAGTGACAGCAGCGCAGAGACTTGGCCGATTCATAAGTCCGCCAGATGGAATACATGTTAAAGAAGACTTAGATAAATTGATAAAGATACACGTAACACTCGAAGATGATACAGAATTTAAGGAATACTACCTCCTCATATACAGAACATTGAGTGCGACTGTCTGTTTCACTATTGATGGTATGTTAATATTACATAATAGATGAAATAGTATTGTAAATCATTTGGAAATAACGTTATTTTTAAGGAAGCGCGTAACGAACGGGATCAAAAGACTACAAGATACAAGCTTGTAGGGTAATGATATGTGTCAACTCGTATTTTTTCAACGAAAATGCCCAAGGGCTCTGACATAAATAGGAACATTGAATATTTTCAGTAAACACTCGGCTGGAACTTGATACGGTCAAGTCAGTGGACGCATTTATTGGGCCGCAGCTATCAGCAATAGCTTCGGCCATCAGCGAACAATGTTCATTGCACGCATTACAAGCAGCGCAACTGGCTAGCGAACACAAGTTCGTGTACTTCAACAGATTAAATTTAATTTTGAAATCATCTGTAAGTAATGCTTATTTTAACGCTAAAAGTTCGACTGGCGGGACTTTTGTGAGTTTTTTATGTGGACTTCGGTGTTCCGGGCTGTTTGCGAAGAGGATATGGAAATGATGTTAACACTGATTTGGATAAGATTTTAATAGAAAGCGACACAATTAATTAAAATAAAACAAAATAAGTTGAGAAAAGTACAGACAAACTAAGATTGACAATATTTTGCCGGTCGTATTTGCGCGCGCCGCGGGCGCGTGTTTTTTTGGCTCAGATTTCTGTCTCAGCGGGGGGTAAGGCGGCGGCGGAGCCGGTATCGCAAGTTCAGATACATATTTGGTTACGCTATATTATTTATTTATTTATAATATTGGTGGAGGAATGAGTTTACGCTCTATCAGGTTTAAGGTGGTTACCGGAGCCGATAGACATTACAATCTTGAGGTCGTTTTCTCAAATTCTCAACTATACTGTGTAGTAGTTAACCACCTCTTTAAAAATGAAACGCATGAGTAGGTACTTTACAGACAGACCGACAGATATAGGCAGGATTGTCAAATCAAGCTAGGACAACTTAAACTATGCACTTAACTTAGCAGTTAAATTTATTGGTTTATAAGTTTTATGCTAACAAAACTTATAAACCAATAAATCGTCATAGTCGTAGAATAGTGACGGATCTGACAAATATTAAACTTCACAGGGCAGCCATTTCAAATAGTCATGTTAGATTTTTTGTCATAACTTTTTAGATTCAAATTTTGTTATTATGAAAATTGGCATACAAGCAAACAAAAGGATTCGTTTTAAAATAAAATAAAAATAATAACTTAAAATTACACAGTTTTCTAGAAAAATCACATGCTTCATTTTACTTTGGAGTTGATACAGTCACATAGTATTATCCGACATTGTTCCTCGGAAAGTTACTGTTGAAGGAATGACGGAAGTTACTTTATGATCATGTTCTATTAACTTACAGAGTAATATTTTGGCGGATATGTTATTTGTCATATTATATTATTTTAAATTTTAACCGCAGGTAAGTATTATAGGTCGGCAAGTGGTCAGTAAGTAACCAGATTAGGATATCTTAAATAAAACACAGACTAATTAGTCTTACTCTTTTTTAATCAACATGATATACATTATGCTTAAATTAAGTATTTATTATCAATAGTAGGTATTCTTTTATTACTATATAGACTAAGCAGACTATAATGTTGACTATATTTGGATATGATTACTGATTTTTTGGTAAATTACTAACCTAAAAATTTAAATACTAATCATTATATAGAATTTAATTATAAAGAACAGAAAAAAACATTTATTAAAATGAAAAAAATCTTAACAATCACAACTTCAGAGATCAAAATAATAACAATAAAATAACTAAAATTATAAAAAAAACCCTAGTGCACAATTATTCAGTCGGATTCATTACCAGCTTCAGTAACATTACGTCCATGAGTTAAACTTCTGAAAAATTTATGATATTTCGTGGGTATTATTGAGGAATTGCAAAGACTAATAAGATTGTTATATTTATCATTACTGATTGGAATTAGACCTACATAAGCTTTCTTTAAGGCTGGAGTTCAGACAATTCTTTGTATAAATTGAACATCCGACCGATGCTGAAGTCACCGAAGTCACCTAAATACAGCCATTTGGACGCTGCTCTATAATGCGACTCTACTGGTACAAATGATTCAACGTGGGTGCAAACCCACATTACCATTTCATCGTCAACAATCCGATTATGATTTTTATGTTTCCCCCTCATGTCTTCTTCAATCAAAGTGCTTCCGTCATACTTATCCCAAGCTGTCCGAACTAACCTTTCGCTAATCGAATATGTACTTAAAAACATGATTTTACAATCCTCTATTGTTGATGATTCTTTTGGCAAAAAATAATTGTTAGTGAATTGACGGTTATGCTTTAAAGCTCTTTGAAGACCCCTTTTCTTCTGCTGTTTTGTAGTATAATTCGCAACATACAACCATTGTTTCTCACAATCACCTAATTCTCAAAACTTATCAAATGCACCCTGTCTTTCTTCAAGGGTCAACATAGTGTAACATTTACTTTTACACGCGCAAGTACTGGGTAGGCACCCATAGTTTTTGAAGGAACAAAAAGGCCCTTTTTGGAGGAGTTTATTTCCCGGCATTTTTAAGCGCTTTCTAGTAACTTCTTTTCAATCATCGTAATTTCGGATTCGTTTTTTACCTCTACATCGAATACGAGGCACTGGAGGACACGACTGGCATGAGGACACAACTGTGTTGATTAAAGGACAGTTGCTATAGTCCGCTTCATCATGAGTGCAACAACAAAAATCGTTACAGACTTCGCCATGGCCTTTTGCTGGTAATGGCAATCGGTTAATCGGTTGTGGGAAAGGTGATATATCTGATATCAAGATAGAGGTATTTAAAGGGCTTAAAGCTGGGCTGATATTTAGGGACACGGTATGTTGATTTTCTGACGAGAGTAAATCTGGTGTGGAAGCATTTTGATATCCAACTATAAAGTGATTTTCTCTAAGAAAACAAGTAGAGGATGGTATGTTTTGATTCCTATTTTCATCTGTAATACTTTCGTTTGCTCGGTGTACATCGTCTGCAAAGACATTCTCATAAACGTCGTTCATTTTACTATTGCATGGCGTACTCCTGGAGGTAAAGGTGAATGGCATTCTGAAAACATATCAGTATGTAAAAAATAAATAAATTCTTAATAACACAAGTTAACGTTTACGCCTAAGGTGAGGTTTTACACCCTTAAATTGATTCAGAACAAAAAGATTCGGAAGTACAGAAATAAAACAATTTACTTCTTTTTATTTATACGGGTAAAATATTACTGACATAGGATTATTTTTTTATAGAAAAATATATTAAATATATACAAATAATCATTTTTTTAAGTAGAATAAAGCTGGATCTGAATTTAGTGCAAAGAACAAAGTCGGATGGTCAGATACGACTATTAGATAAAAAAACATGTTCATTGAATAACGTCGGTTGTGATCACCCGTCACTATTATATCCATAGAAAAATGTAGTATAGTTACATACAATTTTAAAATTCAATTTTTTTTAAAATATAACACAAACTCTTCAGAATAATGTATAATCCGATATCCAACATTCTTTTTATGTAAATAAATTTTTTAAATGATTTTTAATTTTCCGTAGAAAACCGACAGATAGTCAGAACCGATACTTTATTCATTTACTTTAGTAAATATGGTTTTAATACAAAAATTAAATAATACCAAAAGTTAATACATAATTAATTAACCTACCTGGAGTCCCTGGTATACAGTCCTCCTCATCAGTGCACTCTTCATGAGTAAAATTCGTAATTTGTGCATTTTTGCTTCTTTCTTCCACCAGTTTTAACATAAGCTTTGATCGTCCTGGTTTCATTGTGACACACCTTTTAACACGGTACGTAAGACTAGATACGTAATAATTAATAAAAAGGTAACTGAGGTAATCTAGTGTAAATGTTTAAGAAAAATTGAATCTAAATACAACGCGTGGGCAACTTCGAGGAACAATGTCGGTTGCGTGGATACGTCGGGAGTGGGAGGGCCGGGCGCGCGTCGTGCAGAGACGATTAAGCACAAGCGTCATTTTACTATGAGCGTCTATCAAATCCGTCATTATACCGACTGCTTAATTTGAAATCTAAAATACATGTAATTTTTTTTTTAATGTAGCAATAATATTTAGACAATGTAGTATCCAAATATGGTAAAAAGTGGATTTTGGATTTTTTTCAAATCCGACATTATTCTACGATCATGACGAAATTGTAGCAGTACCTGCTTGCTGCTGCTAGTTAAGAATAAACAAAGTGATGGTAAACCATAACACAGATTTAATGTTATTTGAATTTTACGGTTTCTAGTAAAACATTTCATAAATTTCAGCCACCAGTAAATAAATTGCAAATATCCGCTGCGATAAAACCTGAAGTTCTTAGTATCATGTCTGGAATTCATGCTGACCGACAAAGGTTAGTCAGTAATTAGTAAAAATAATTTTTAGTTATAGTGAGTTCTAATGATTTGGATGGATTCGTCGGACAACATAAGACGACAAATTTTCATTACCTACCTATTAATAACATGTCTTCTTAATAAAATAGATGTTTAATTAGGGGGGCACCTAATTAAACATCTGAGGGTACAGAACAGCCGCTCAATGAATGGCTAAAATTACTAGTCTACCAATACTCCATTATTCTTTGGTATGAATAAAGCAGTTGTAGAAAAATTCAAATATGCACCGGTCATCGATCTCGTCGAACCCGTCGCTTGCGACGAAGGGCTCGGCGAGTAAATGAACCCACAGACACAGCGCACTAAGTTTCTCGCCGGATCTTCTCAGTGGGATGCGTTTCCGATCCGGTGGTAGATTCCGCGAAACACGGCTCTTGCTAGGGTTCGTGTTAGCAACAACGTCAGGTTTGAGCCCCGCGAGCTTACCTACTCGCCCGGTTACGCTGAAATGGTCTCTCAAGACCTAGCCCATCAGCTTAGATAGGCCAAGAAAAAAAAAACAAATATGCATGCTGAGTGAACATAATACTATTAATAAGTTGAACAAATGTTGTAAGTTCAAGAAATTAAATAATAATTGTAACATATCGTCATTTAATAAACGTAAACAAAACATGCTTGCACTCGTAAGGAACACTTTGATTGAATTAAAACACAAAACAATAGTTAAAATTAAATATTAATATACTTGCTTTTTTTTCCTAGCCTTGGAAATTATGGAGAAATAATAATTAAAACTCCAGACGAATACTGGATAACAGGAAAATGTTCCAATGACAGAGAATTCTATGTGATAATACAAGAGAAAAATGCCAACCTTAAAGAAATAGCAGGTGCGTACTCAGTTTTACTTGGTTCAATGGAAACTTGCAAATTAAATATATTTATTTGCTACATTAACACATAATATAAACAGTGTAATATAAAATAAAATATCATGGGTATTTTTTTTATTGCATAGATGGGTGGACGAGCTCACAGCCCACCTGATGTTAAGTGGTTACAGGAGCCCATAGACATCTACAACGTAAATGCGCCACCCACCTTGAGATGTAAGTTCTAAGGTCTCAGTAGTTACATCGGCTAACCCACCCTTCAAACCGAAACGCATTACTGCTTCACGGCAGAAATAGGCAGGGTGGTGGTACCTACCCGCGCGGACTCACAAGAGGTCCTACTACCACTAATTACGCAAATTATAATTTTGCTGGTTTGATTTTTATTACACGATGTTATTCCTTCACCGTGGAAGTCAATCGTGAACATTCGTTGAGTACGTATTTCATTAGAAAAATTGGTACCCGCCTGAGATTCGAACACCGGTGCATCGCTCAACACGTATGTACCGGACGTCTTATCCATTAGGCCACGACGACTTTAAGTTTATTAATTTGGATGTTGCGTTATATTCGTTCATTAAAATAAAATACAATTCGCATAACTACATTCCTTTAGTTCGTACTTCCAATATAAAATTTTCATTATTAACTAGATAACCAATAAAATATTTTATTGTATTTCTTTCTATTACAGATGAAGTGAAGCGTGTCTGTGAAGCACAAATGAAAGGGATATTCTTTTACCCTATGTAAAAAATTATTAACACATGTACATACAAAATTTTGCTAAAAATAAAACAACACAATATTCCATGGATAGTTTTTATTACTCTCGGTAGAGGTACTGATAAATATAAATATATATATTAAATTTTTGTCTGTTCACCCTTAAATATATTTTAGAAAAAGTTAACAAATAGGTAACTATTAATCAACTGACAGCTTTTCTTCCTTATTCATAATTTTTCTGTGCATCTTAACAACCAGTTCTCTGTTTTCATAGCCCCAAGCTATCAATACACATAGCAGCATAATTCCGCCCACTAATATGTGGAGTAATATAAAAGAAGGGAATAAGCGAATTTCAGATATTTTACATACAAAACCAGCAATGAACAATGTTGATAAAAATATTTTGCCAACAAGCAAGCCATTCAAAGGCTTATATTCCGTATCTTTATATTTGTTCCTTATAAAATGAATACTGTGCATTATCCTAGCAAACATATTTATACAGTTTGAAATGATGAATCCTATAGGACCAAAAATATATGTCAAACAATATGACAAAACTAAGAAACTTACAGAGAAAATTACCATTAAATAGTTATAGCTATTTAACTGGCTACTAGTCATTGTGGCAAATGAATAGCATTCAGTAACTCCATTAATAGCTAACAAAACAATTGCCAAACAATGACTTCTCAGCAATTGTACAGGCAATCCACCTGCAACGAACGCCTCTCCTCCATACAAAAGCAATAATGTATGTGAATAACTTTGTCCAAATACTAGTACTATCAAACCAATGGAACTCACTGTTTTACATACATTTGATAAAACTGCACAAGATTCCTGAATCTTGTTTTGGTCTTGTTTATGAAGAGGCAAGTCTCTACTCACCATTTGTGTGAAGTAAAAATAGCTACTATCTTCAATTGGCCTAAACACAAATCTAGCCGCTAAACTACCTAAATTATTGACAACATCATAAGTTGCTTGTTCTGAAAAGGTCATAACTGGACTCATAGACATAACATATTTTTCACCTTCTGTTAACAACTGTTTAACAAATCCTTGCTTTGCAAAACTGAAAGTGAGGGTACTTAATTTTTTATTAAATGTGGTACTGATTGAACCTAAATATTTAGGTAGAAACTCCTGAATAGATGTAAATTGAAAATCATCCATATTCTCATACAATTTATGCAAGACTGCATCAGGAATTAACTGACTTTTAAGTGCACCCTTTGCATACAAAGGCTTATTTTTAACATACCAGTAAAAGAATATGTAATATGACAGAACAACAACAAATATACTTCCTACTTGAGCTATTGAAAAGGCAATAAGTGCCAATGATCTATCATAAATTATGATTGATAAAAACAAAAGTGTTCTCACAAAAATATGTAATGTATCCAAAACAACTTTCAACTTAATAAAACAAAAATGTTGAGCTACAAGAGCTAAGTTTGCAGAGCAAAGTTCCAGAACACATGAAAAGGCAACACTCCAGCAACCAAAGGTATACTGATATGCATGTTCCGGATTACCTAAAGGCAACCAATTTAACCAAATATATACAAATACAATGGACAATAGTGAACTAATGGGGACTGATAGCCAAATTTGATTGATAAGATGACTCCATCCAAAACCATCAGTCCTTCCTAAACAAGCTCTGTTAAATGGTTCCCGACTAAGGAATAATATAGTACTCTCTAAAAGAAGTAGCCTAACATTCATTATGCCCAATATTTCATGACCAACATTTCTGATCACCCATGCATTAATAATAAATGTAATACACCTGAATAATATTTGTATTAAAATATTGAAAGACGCGTTTTCAAGGCTACTCATCAAAATATTTCGTGCCATTCTTACTTTTTTTAATACTACACATTAATTTCATTACTTTCTCTGAGTGGAGTATGTATATTTCGTTTTACAACATAAATCTTTTTATTAGAAAGACAGATAATATACCAATGATCGTCAAACGTTATCGAAATCTTCTTAAAATTCTCACTTGGTCCAAATGCAACTGAATCAACTCTAAAACAACAAAAATCATTTAAATTCAGATACCATCAAAATCCGTCTCTTTGGTTTTGCCTTATGTAAAAGTATAAACTCACTCATTAGATAGGGTGATGAGATCAGTTATTATAGTTGCGATACGTTCGTCGTTCTCAAGTTCTCCACCAGATTCAAGGACAGCACCGTCCTCTGTTAGCACCAGATAGCCGATTTGGTCTGGAATTTTATCCATTATAGCTGCAACGATTTTCACAATTCAGTAACTTGGAAGAAACAGCAAAAACAAGCCCTATGAGCCTGTTAATCTTTTATAAAAAAAAGCTAGGTAGGTACCTACCCACCACCCACTTCAATTTTCTGGATTTCTTTGTTTGTTTTGTCCAATTGGATTGGCAAAGAAAAGATAGCCAATACAGCCATGTCTGTTTGATGACAAATATTGGCAAGCGAATAAAAGGAATGAAATTGATAAGTTGGATGTAAAGATATAATCTCTCAGTAACACTATGGAAATTTTCTGAGATGTCAATGAATTTTTTGAAAGAACCCAGGAGATACGTCCATTGAAGTCAGTTAACAACCATCATTTTACTAAGCCTTTATTGCATTGCATCTCACCTTTTTTTTATGATTGAAGGATTTCCGATGGCCCGGAGGCCTTTCCAGTTTCACCAGGACAGGTGGGCGAGCAAAGGCTCAGCCAGGAGGGGTGGGATTTGCTAATAGCTACCCGAGCGCCTCCGAAGGAGACCTAACAGCTCAAGAGCAGCTGCTTCGCGAATGAATCTACTACCGGATCGGAATCGCGACCCGCTGAGAAGATCCGGCGAGAAACTCAGCGAGCTGATTTATGGGTTAGGTTGCACGGTGAACTCTTTGTTAAGTTCGACGAGTACGGTTACCGGAGTCCTTAAGCCTGCTCCTAGTGTTAGAGCTGAAGGCGTCTAATGCAAAGGTTATTGGATCTGATAGATAAGGTAAGGACGTGTCTCGAGCGTCGACGGTGACTGGCTCCTGCGTGATCAGGATTCGGGGAGTAGTCAGCGGCAGCAACGATAAGGCGATTATCATGACGCATAGCCTTATCGAAGTACCGTTCCGATGCTGACTTCATGTATTTCTGGATTGATTCGAGGCCCAGGTCGTCGTGTAGGTCAACGTTCCTCACGAACCACGGAGCTCCGACGGCTAACCTGCAAAAGCAGGATTGTAGAGATTGGAGGGTGTCTACGTGTGTGCGGGCCGCGTGAGCGAACACCACACTCGCGTAAGTCATGACGGGCCTTATGCAAGTTTTGTAAAGTGTCACCTTGTTCCGAAGGGACATTTTACTCCGCTTACAGATCATGGCGTAGAGTCTACCGAGAATAAACGCGGCACGGTCACGGACTGATTTTATATGCGGGCGGAATGTCATCGATGCATCCAGGGTAACGCCCAGGTACTTGACCTTCCTGGCCCAGGGTATGGGTTGTCTAAAGAGAGTATACTTTTTTTTCGCGACATTTACCTTGTAATATCTGCCCGGTCGTATGTTCTTTATAGCAATAAAAAAAATTAAAAGTTAAAAGAACTCAAACGAATCAAAACTTTTGTTATTTCAGAATCTATTCACGCGTCGAATCATGATTTTGTTAACATTCACAACGAACACACACAAATAAAAACAGGTCCTCAGATTTTAAATGTAACATTAATTAAAAATCCGAGATATCCAATTATGAGTGAGTCAATTAATTGAGTTTAGTTATTTAGCTTAGAAAGAATTTCTTTTATTTTTGTTATTATTGGCAGTAATCAGATAAAGCTGTTTTTTTATCTTATTCACCTGATATCTTACTCTTGCTCAAAGATTATTTTGAAAATGTTGATTAAATAAAATTGTATTATTGCATTTCCAGTCCTTTTGTTTTCTATTTTTTATTCTATTTTATGATTTTGTTTCAGAGTTGAGATTTTTAAGGAAATTAAATAATAATTTTCTAAAATATAACATGCACATACTTTTTTTGATCATTGTATTGTTGATTATCATTCATGTCACATCGCTTCGGAATAGAAACCAGCTTAATTTACACTATGTTGTGTATTGTGCTTAAATTATGGATTGTGTAAAATTATGGATTTCGGTCCATATAAATAATTATATATGGCACCTACCTATATATCGCAGTACTGCGAGGTGACAGCCCTTACAACAAATATCCCAATTTAACCCCTTAACCGTTCAATTTACTCCGGGACCGCTGGGTAAATTGGGATAGGCCATTATTTTACCGATTATTTATTTCTTTAAAATGAATAATTAAAATAATGTAACGGTTTGTATCACCTAGGTACGTTCAAGACTCAACTTATTTCTTTGGTTGAGCAGTGATTATTTAATTGGAACTATTTTAAAATTCAATCTGAAGGTCGATTTTGTCCCTATTTACCCCATTGTACGGTACCTACATAGGTCGTACGCCGCTGAATTTTAGAAATCAATGTCACCAATGTCATACAATTTCTAATTGTAGTATTATTATTAGTGCTTCCATTATCTAACGGAAAAAGCCAACGTATCACACCATACAGCCGATTATTTTTTATTGAAAAATAGTTTGAACTGAAAAATTATACGCATGAAATGAGGTGAAGTTGATATATTTGAGATTTTATTCAATAGGTTTAATTAGAATGAGAGAAGATGCAGATGCAATAAAGGGCTTAGTAAAAATGATAGTTGTTAACTGATCAAGTGACGTATTACTGGGTTCTTTCAAAAAATTCATTGACATCTCAGAAATTTTCCATAATGTTAATGAGAGATTATATCTTTACATCCAACTTATGAATTTCATTCCTTTTATTCGCTTGTCAATATTTGTCATCAAACAGACATGGCTGTATTGGCTATCTTTTCTTTGCCAATCCAATTGGACAAAACAAACAAAGAAATCCAGGAAATTGAAGTGGGTGGTGGGTAGGTTTTTTTTTATAAAAGATTAACAGGCTCATAGGTCTTGTTTTTGCTGTTTCCTCCAACTCCAAGTTACTGAATTGTAAAAATCGTTGCAGCTATAATGGATAAAATTCCAGACCAAATCGGCTACCTGGTGTTGACAGAGGACGGTGCTGTCCTTGAATCTGGTGGAGAACTTGAGAACGACGAACGTATCGCAACTATAATAACTGATCTCATCACCCTATCTAATGAGTGAGCTTATACTTTTATTTAAGGCAAAATCAAAGAGACGGGGTTTGATGGTATTTGAATTTAAATGAGTTTTGTTGTTTTAGGGTTGATTCAGTTGCATTTGGACCAAGTGAGAATTTTAAGAAGATTTCGATAACGTTTGACGATCATTGGTATATTATCTGTCTATCTAATAAAAAGATTTCTGTTGTAAAACGCAATATACATACTCCACTCAGAGAAAGTAATGAAATTAATGTGTAGTATTAAAAAAAGTAAGAATGGCACGAAATATCTTGATGAGTAGCCTTGAAAACGCGTCTTTCAATATTTTAATACAAATATTATTCAGGTGTATTACATTTATTATTAATGCATGGGTGATCAGAAATGTTGGTCATGAAATATTGGGCATAATGAATGTTAGGCTACTCCTTTTAGAGAGTACTATATTATTCCTTAGTCGGGAACCATTTAA